ACTGACAAGTGGTCGAACAACCGAAATAAAGGGTGCTTGTTTGTCAGCTAGACCTTCATCGAATGCAAACAAATCTTTTGTTCGAGCCAGACCATGGACACGTTTGATGTCCTCTTTCATCCCTGTTTGCATAATGGGTGACACTAGGAAATCGGCTGTTCCTTTAATGTCAGGATATTGTTCCATGACATTTGTCCAAACTTCTTTGGACAATTGCTTGGTAAAGGCAGATTTGAGAAATGAAGATAATTCTTCAGAAATGGTAGCCTCTGGTGTTGGTGCATAATACTTGTCGGAACGACTAGAACCGACAGAAGCTGGTGGTGTGACACTATCAACCACTTTGGCTCTTTTAGGTTGTGGTTCTTCCACAGCGATATTTTCTTGTGAACCATAAGGCTCTGGTGTCAAAAAAGCATTTCTTAGAATATCTGGTAGAGTCCGTTTTAATGTTTCAGTGACTTTGTCTTCGATCAGAGCACTTAGTTGATCTCTTGACACAGGAATATGTGTTGCTGATGCATCATCAGGGCTGGTACCCTCGATGAGCGTATTGTCTGGTTCCTGCGAGATGGGTACCTGCAGGAGACCAGGTCATTTTGAACAAATTGTGTGGATAGTAAATCAAATTATTCAAATATTTCTGTAAGGTATAACTATATACTATCGAATTGTTTTCGTACGTATTCGTCGAGCGGGTACTCTAGACGAATATTGCTTTTATCTACCTGCGAGATGGGTACCTGCAGGAGATATACTCAAATTTAAGGCCCAGACTTGACGAAACATATCAATTTTCCCGATCAGGCGACGTATAACCAAGGTAATGTAAACGTATTAAATAAGGTGCTAAGTTTAATCCTAATATTATTCGGTATAAAACGGCTTTTAAAATATAATGTAGCTTGCGATATTCAGCACTTACCTTTTCAGAGGTCATGCTTGCATAAACACAGAGAATTTGTTACGGATGGATGATTTTTTTGAAGGATTTTGAAGCGAATTTTGTGAGTTAAACAACCGAAGCTTGCCCACGAAAGAAGAGGATGTCAGTACGCATGCGTATAAATTTAATTAAAATCGTGGGTTCTAAGCCGTCGCGCGCCGCGAACTGCACCAGTATTGGGAGTATCAGTCGGAGAAGGAGTGAAGGAGAATTCGCGATTCATTAGTATTTTTTTTTGTGTAACAGGCTTAGTCTTCCGCGCGGACGGTCGCGTATTTACAGTGTATCAATATAGTTCAGTTTCAGTGCGGTGTATTTACAGGCTACATAGCCCGAAATAACACCTACAAGGCGTCTTGTTCATTACAAATACCTAAACTGGCTAAATAGATCTTTCGCTCGCATTTCATCAGATGTTCATGGCTCATATTTTAACCAATCAGCGCTCAGTGAGGGCTGTTCTACGCTCATATTTTAGCCAATCAGCGCTCAAAAGGGCTGTCTTTTGGCAGCTCACCATACACATTATATACCTGTGAAATGGCCATTTCCAGGCTTAAAATATACAAAAGGTTAATAATTCAGACGATTCGCTTTTACCGCGCGCAAGCTTCAAATCTTCTGTGTAAGTTATATTTTGTTGAGCATTTATAAATCTTTTTGCTCTTGGCAGGGGGGAGGACAGCTTAAGACGCCGTACGGATCTCAACCTGGCTCCAATAACAGTACTCGTACCTCTCCCGCGAATGACAGAGCTAACACCTAACCATCCAATCGGGTAAGAAAGGTGGACGAAGGTGTTAATTCAAAGTTTTAGTCGTGATCGTATTCCCCGTATAATTATTAATAATAAAATATGTATCTTGGCTTAAATTCTGTACGAGGTTCCACTGGTAAAAAATTATCATAGTAATTCTTTATAAAAAACAATAATCCTCTATATATATCTCAAATACATACCTCTACATATCTCTCATGAGGGTATGTCTCATATACAATAAAACCTTTTACATACATTTATATATCTAATTCATTTAAGGGTGTAAACTTACATTCTATTGGATGGTGCTAATAATCGTAATTTTTGATTGAAAGAATTTTGCATCTACAGGGTGTATCAAAAAAAAGTAGACAATTTTGAAATGTTTAGAAAACTATAAATTTATCAAAATATCTCATAGATTTGTGCTAGTATGGGTACTTTGGCATCTTCAGGTCATTCTAACACTAAAAACAAACAGAAAAATTAACCTCGAAAAATGGAAGAGCGGTTTGTGGAAGCATCATTTTGAATTGCTTGTGCAAACATGAATGAGAGGTTTAAAATCCAATTTGAATTCAAGGGCTGAGTACTTTGGGTATTTGTTTACAAAGAATCGAAATTTCAGAAATTTTGATGAAAATTAAGTCAGCCGCGCAACTGCGTAAACGTGGGCTTTTTTCCGTTTAACTCGCAGCTTGAGTAACTTTTTTCATGCACGAATGATTTCATGCATGAGTGATTGCTCGGGTGATTAAACTAACAATGGTGTTGTGAAAAAAGTTACTCAAGCTGCGAGTTAAACGGAAAAAAGCCCACTTTTACGCAGTTGCGCGGCTGACTTAATTTTCATCAAAATTTCTGAAATTTCGATTCTTTGTAAACAAATACCCAAACGTTCACCCCTTGAATTCAAATTGGATTTTAAACCTCTCATTCATGTTTGCACAAGCAATTCAAAATGATGCTTCCACAAACCGCTCTTCCATTTTTCGAGGTTAATTTTTCTGTTTGTTTTTAGTGTTAGAATGAGCTGAAGATGGTAAAGTACCCATACTAGCATAAATCTATGAGATATTTTGATAAATTTATAGTTTTCTTAACATTTCAAAATTGTCTACTTTTTTTTGATACACCCTGTATATTGAAATTTTTCTTGTTAAAAATGATTTATTTAATGCGGCATATTATGCGTCTTCATTCGCCTTTTAGTTTTTGTTTACTTCCACAACAACGAGATAAACAAAATCTTAAAAGTGTTACGACTAAATAAACAAGAACATGCCAAAGAAACAAACAGAAAGCAATGATATCCAAACCAAGATACTTCCACAATGGAATATCTTGAGCATAAGATCTCAAGTGATCACCGCCAAATTTAAGCACGTGGTTTATCCAGTAGGCTGCCTCTTCAATGGGTGGAACCCTCTCGGATTGAAAAATAGCAGATACCTTTTCTACCTTTGATTTGTAGGACGGGTTGGTAACGACTTCCTCGATTGCTGAAACCAGTTCGTCGACAGAAAATACCTTCATGTTCAGTTTGAGGCCAAAACCATTCTTCTCCATGCTACCAGCGTTTTGAATTTGATCTCCAAACACTGGGAACCCAATGATTGGCACACCAGCAGTCAGTGCCTCTTGCAAGCCATTTGCACCGCAATGAGTGATGAAGAGTTTTATTTTCTGGTGGCGAAGCAAGTCTAACTGAGGCAGCCATTTTCGTGAGATGAATTTGTCCGACTGGTTATTGGGTTGCAGAAAACTTTGGGTGATGAATTTGTACTTCGTTCGTACGAATGCTTGAAGTAATTTGTCCTTCACCTGAGCTGGCATGGAGCTTAAATTTGAACCAAATGAGACAAGGACGACACCGTTATCAGCGTTGTCAGCAAACGACTGGAGTTCCTTGGGGAGCGGTTTGGGTGTAAGGTTTAGCAGGTGAGGTAATCTTTTCTCGTTTGGCATCAAAGGTGGATTATTATCAAGTATACTTGATTGGTGAACGATCCACAATTGGGCTTTAGCCTGAAGATCTGTCAGTGAAATATACGGTTTCTCTGGAACAACTTCGTAAATGAGTGAGGAATTCATAAAAGGACTTCGTCGATAATAGGCCAGGTTCATGAAAGTATTAAATAAACGTTCGAGGAAGGTCATTTGATCTGGGTGAACCGGGTTGGTTGATATTTTAAAAGGGATCACAGTGGGTAAGATGGGAGCTCGGGTACACTGAGGGAGTGCTGCGTGTCCAAATATAACGAAGGGGATATTCAACTTGTAGGGTATGAGAGTTAATATTACAGCGACTGCACTTGAATCTAGCAAAATCAAATCCGGCTTAAATTTTTTTATATTCTGCCTAAGATCAGCATCCCGGACTATTTTAGTTGCAGCTCCCTTTACAAGCGAGTCGACGCCAGTAGACATCATGGGACGAAGTAACGACGGTTTTTCAAAATATGCATTCCAAATCAAACTCACCAATAGACGATTATCTGGCAACTCACCCAGACAATGGTAAAGCAATGGTTTAACCCCATAGTTTTGTAGTTTGTTTTCCAACTGAGGTGGGATTGTGATGCGTACGTCGTGTCCTTGACTTTGCAAATATTTCCCGACGTTCGCAATTCCGACCAGATGACTGTAGAATGGCATTCCAAGAATGAGAATATTCGCAGCAAAACAGCATTTGGCTAATTCCAGTATTACGAAGAGCTGAGCGAGCGTTTTCTTGATAATTCTAGTCATATTGAAGTATAAATGTTTACCAAAATGTTTACGGAATTATTGTCACACGTATGTCTTAGGCAAATAACAACAAAGTTCAAAGGTTATTTAGATACGTAAGGTTCAGATTTTTTAAATTTTTTTTAAATCTTGAAATTTGAAACCAATCTAACTATATGCCCTTTGAGACCAATGCCTCGAGCCTGGAGGGCTGTTTCTCTGTAGCTATCGTATCTCCGTCACGTAAAATACTGCATGATGATGAAGTGAATGTAAAATACTGATGATAATAAAGGTTAATTACACATCTTTCTCGTTCTTCTTATTCATCATTAATTCATTATAAATACCTAAACTGGCTAAACAGATCTTTCTCTCACATTTCATCAGGTGTTCAAAAGGCGTTCAAAAGGGCTGTCTTTTGACAGCTCATCATACACATTTGATACCTGTGAAATGACCATTTTCAGACTTAAAATATACAAAAGGTTAATAATTCAGACGATTCGTTTTTACCGCGTGCAAGCTTCAAATCTTCTGTGTAAATTATATTTTGTTGGGCATTTATAAATCTTTTTATTCATAAAATTTGAAGTACAACTATAAAGAACTGAGGCTAAAGCCCCGCTTACACTACGCGCGATATTTGGTAGGGCACGGATAAAACTTGCACTCTGCACTCATACCATTTTTATCCGTGCTTGGTTCAAGTACTTGTAAAAGTGGCACAGCCGAAACCGTTACCACCTATCGCGCGTAGTGTAAACAGGGCATAAGTCTACGCCAATTTTCGCGGTGTCCTGTAGACAGCTGTGCATGCTATTCGTCCTTCACTTTTTGTTTACTTCCACAACAACGAGATAAACAACATCTTAAAAGTGTTATGACTAAATAAACAACAACATGCCAAAGAAACAAACAGAAAGCAATGATATCCAAACCAAGATACTTCCACAATGGAATATCTTGAGCATAAGATCTCAAGTGATCGCCGCCAAATTTAAGCACGTGGTTAATCCAGTAGGCTGCCTCTTCAATGGGTGGAACCCTCTCGGATTGAAAAATAGCAGATGCCTTTTCCACCTTTGATTTGTAGGACGGGTTGGTAACGACTTCCTCGATTGCGGAAACCAGTTCATCGACGGAAAATAACTTGATTTCGAGCTTGAGGCCAAAACCATTCTTTTGCATGCTAACAGCGTTGTATGGTTGGTCTGCAAACAATGGAAAACCAATGATTGGCACACCAGCAGTAACGGCCTCTGTCACGCCATTGGAGCCGCAATGAGTGATGAAGAGCTTTGTTTTCTTGTGGCGAAGCAAGTCAAACTGAGGCAGCCATTTTCGGGATATGAATTTATGTGATTGGTTTTTCTGCTGGAGAGAACTTTGGATGATAAATTTGTACTTCGTTCGTGTGAATGCTTGAAGCAATTTGTCCTTTATCTGAGCTGGCATAAAATTTAGTACGACGGAACCGAACGAGACAAGGACGATACCATTTTCAGCACTTTCCAAGAACGACTGGAATTCTTGAGGAAGTGGCTTTGGTGTGAGGTCCAGCAAGTGAGGTATTCGTTTCACATTAGGCATTAAAGGTTTGTTATAGTCAAGCATGCTGTGTTGTCGAACGATCCACAACTGGGCTTTAGCCTGAAGATCTATCAGCGAAATATATGGTTCATCTGGAAGATATTCGCTAATAAGTGACGAATTAATAAAGACACTTTGCCGATAAAATGCCAAATTCATGAAAGTATTAGACACACGTTCCAGGAAAGTCATTTGAAAGGTGTAGGTTGAATACCTATAAGGGATGACAGTGGGCAAGATGGGAGCTCGAGTACATTGAGGGAATGCTGGGGATCCAAACATGGCAAAGGGGATATTTAACTTGTAGGGTATGAGAGTTAACATTACAGCAATTCGGCTGGAATCCAGCAAAATTAAATCTGGTTTGAAAGTTTCAATATTTTTTTGGAGTTTAGTATCTCGGATTATTTTTGTTGCAACTTGATTTAGTATCAGTAGTCCATCACTGGCACTAGTTGAAAAGAACGATGGTGATTCCAAAACCTCTTTCCACATCGCTCTCCCCAGTTTATGCTGTTCCGGAAACTCACCCAGACAATGGTAAAGCAATGGTTTAACACCACAGTCCTGCAGTCTCTCTTCCAACTGAGGCGGAATTGTGATGCGTACGTCGTGACCTTGACTTTGCAAATATTTCCCGACTTTTGCAATTCCGGCCAGATGACTGTAATATGGCAACCCAAGGATTAAAATATTCGCTGCAAAACAGTATTCTGCGAATGCTACGATTACGACTAGCGGAGCGAGAACTGGCTTGGCAATTCTAGTCATACTAAGTAACGTGTGTTTACCCGAATTTACAGCACTACAGCGGCTCAGATCCTCTGATCGTCAGACGCCACGCTATACACAAATCTCACAAGTAAAGTTACGAATTCCGTAAATTACGCAAAACATTTCCTTAGATTTCAGTAAAATTTTTTTGACGAACGCTGCATAGTAACATGAAGTATTGCGGTGAATATTACATCATTAGGAATGACAATTTTAGTTTCAATGCCATGTATAAAACGCGTTTAAAAATAATAAATTTATTTTCACTTTCCAAGAAATTTCCTCAAAGTTTTAGTCGTGGTTCGTATCCCCCGTATAATTAAAAAAAAACATGTGTCTAGGGTTAAATTCTGTAAGAGGTTGGTAAAAAAGATCATAGTAATTAATTCTTTAGAGAACAACAAACCTCTATATATCTCTAATGAGGACATGTCTAAAATACAATAACACTTCTTACATATATTTATATATCTAATCCATTTGAGTGTAAGTCTATTGGATGGTGCGAATAATCGTATATTTTTCATTGAAAGAATGCATCTATGTTGAAATTTTCCTTGTTAAAAATGATTTATTTAATGCGGCATATTATGCGTCTTGTATGCAAAATTACGCGCCGATATGTGCAAAATTAGTGAAATTCGCGAGGCTATTTTTCGGCAAGACTTTCGCGAACAAACTTTACAGTTTAACTCATTAACATGGTCAGTCTGGCTGTGGTATTGGATTTCGTCAGTTTTACATCTATCACTTAAAATTTTTCTATGGTTGAATTTGTCTATCACTCTATCTAACCTAAGAATTCCTTAAGATTACAGCTGCCCGTCATTATTCGTCTTTTTGTTTTTGTTTACTTCCACAACAAAGAGATAAACAACATCTTAAAAGTGTTATGACTAAATAAACAACAACATGCCAAAGTAACAAACAGAAAGCAATGATATCCAAACCAAGATACTTCCACAAAGGAATATCTTGAGCATAAGATCTCAAGTGATCACCGCCAAATTCAAGCACGTGGTTAATCCAGTAGGCCGCCTCTTCGATGGGTGGAACCCTCTCGGATTGAAAAATAGCAGAAACCTTTTCTACCTTTGATTTGTAGGACGGGTTGGTAACGACTTCCTCGATTGCTGAAACCAGTTCATCGACGGAAAATAACTTGATGTCCAGCTTTAGACCAAAACCATTCTTCTCCATGCTAACAGCGTTCTGTGGTTGATCACCAAACATTGGTATACAAAGAATTGGCACACCAGCAGTCAGCGCCTCTTGCAAGCCATTTGTGCCGCAATGGGTGATGAAGAGTTTTGTTTTCTTGTGGCGAAGCAAGCCAAACTGAGGCAGCCATTTTCGGGACATGAACTTGTCTGACTGATTCGGTTGTAAAAAACTTTGTGTGATAAATTTGTACTTCGTTCGTGCGAATGCTTCAAGTAATTTGTCCTTCATCTGAGCTGGCATAGAGCTTAAAATGGAACCAAATGAGACAAGGACGACACCATTTTCCGCGCTTTCTAAGAACGACTGGAATTCTTGAGGAAGTGGCTTTGGTGTGAGGTCCAGCAAATGAGGTAATCGTTTCTCATTCGGCATTAAAGGTTGGTTATAGTCAAGCATGCTGGGTTGTCGAACGATACGCAATTGGGCTTTAGCCTGAAGATCTCTTGCAGAAATATACGGCATCTCAGGAATATATTCATTAACGAGTGAGGAATTGATGAAAAGGCTCGGCCGATAAAATACCAAGTTCATTAAAATATTAGACACACGTTCTAGGAAAGTCATTTGGTCCGTGTAGGTTGAATACTTATAGGGGATCACAGTGGACAAGCTGGGAGCTCGAGTGTACTGAGGGAGTGCTGTGGATCCAATTAGAACGAAAGGGATGTTTAACTTGTAGGGTATGAGAGATAACATCACAGCGACAGGACTGGAATCCAACAGAATCAAATCTGGTTTGAAATTTTTAATATTCTTCATTAGATTAGGATCCCACAGTAATTTTGTTACAATTCGATACAAGATCGGCGGGTTATCACTGTCATCACTGGTTGAAAAGAAAGTTGGTGGTTGGAAAACATGTTTCCACATTGCTCTTTCAACTAATTTCGCCGGAAACTCACCCAGGCAATGGTAGAGCATTGCCTCAATGCCATAGTTTTGTAGTTTGTGTTTCAATCGAACGTACGTCGTGTCCTTGACTTTGCAAATATTTTCCGACGTTGACAGTTCCGACCAAATGACTGTATAATGGCATGCCAAGAATCAAAATATTGGCTGCAAAACCATATTTAGCGAACGCCACGATTACAACTACCAGGGTGATAGCTGGTTTGGTGATGATCACCATATTAGAGTAACGTGTTCACCCCAATTTACCGGCAATGTTACCGCTGCGAACAGTGACCGCTCAGACACGCAAATTATACTGAAATCTTACAATCGATTTTCTAAATTCTGAGATAAAGCAAAATATTTCCCCAGATTTCCGTGAAATTGTTAAAAATTGTTAAATGGTTGTTAAATAAAACTATTATATGAATATCTAGTAGATATTTTTTCGTGTGTGGACTTGGACACAGGAGAGTTTTAAGACTGAAAAAGCTGCCTGGGTGCAATGGAAGCATCATTGTCCAACTTACCTCAACTATTATATTTCCAATATCTTCCTCTGTGCATCCAATATTGGAAAAATACTAAAGGTAGAAGCAAAATTGTCTACCCATGGTCTACCTCAAACCATGGTCTTTACCTCTGCCTCATGGCCCACAATGCCTGGGGCATTGTGATCGAGGAAGAAGACACTGGGTTAGGGCAGATGTTGGGCAAGCACTTTTTCAATAATCATTGTAAAATCATCTTCTTTACATTACAATTAAAATGGTGTTCATGCACATGGCAAGATAATTTATTGGCTGTTGGCCCTCCAATCTGATTTAGACCCTCATTTAATCCATGGTTTTCAAATGCCACTCATATCTCATACTTGTCATATCTCATACTGGGTAATGTCCAGTTTTTATATAGTTAAAAATTCCCAGTTATTTGAAGGATGTATATAAATTGAGGTGTTTTTAAGGATTAATAAGTACTCCTAAAAGTCCATCCATTTTATGGTGGATCACCCCCTAAAGTGGCATGTTCGTAACCAACTTCAATAGAATAAAAGAGGACAGAATTCAAAGGTGGTTCACATGTTAGATTCACATAATCCAATGTTCATTCAATGATGAATGATAAGTGTCTACATTTATATCAGAAAGTATGCAGGTTCTCTCATAAATACTATTGAGATTATTGGCATCACAACAAAACCTAGCTACCATGTAAGGTGAGCCCACTGCATGATAGTGAGGCTGGGCAAGTGGGACAATAGCACAAGGGGTAAACCTGAATTTCTGAGATCACCTCACTGACCTCAGCATATTTGCTTCTGAAATCAGCTTCATCGCCAGCATAAGTTACATGCAAGCCCAGGGATTTCAAATAAATATTCCTTTCGTAAAAGCAACGGCAAATATAACCCTGCATGTCTTGTATAAATTCCTAGAATTCTGGAACAAAAGAAATTTCCTGATTTCGAGGAAATATGATTTTCCTACACTTCGTTGATTATATTATTATGGTCCCCAGGTTTTTCCTCAACGAGCTCGGTTCTGGCCTCTGGGGACGATCTATTTATAATTTATAATTTATAATTTAACACATTTCGAACTTCTGAAACTTTTACGTTTCATTACAATATATTTGAGTGTTTTCTTTCTTATTGGTATCTTTCCATAAAAATATGCCTGCTGGGAGACATCGTGCGTCGGCTAACGCGCCTGACAAGGCTACGGTGAGCGTGAACGAAAGAATTTTGAAGGAATGCCATGATTTGTACATGGACAACAAGAATGGTTCGTTGTTACATTTGTAATATATATTAATTATCATATATCTTGACCAGTTGACCCATCGCAAGATATTAATAGGCTCGTGCCATATAATTCGTATATTTCTGTATGTATATATAATATTGAATCGTTGATAAAGATAACGTGGGAAATGTAGCACCACTTTTTCAAAAATAATTTCACAAAGGACCTGTTGTGTTGTTCAAAGGTCCAATGGTTGCCGTTTATACAGTAACAATTCCATGATCGCCGATCACACGCAAAAAAATGGACAATTTGTGGTAGATCTGCAAACAAATAGTTATAAGTCTTCCCACAAGCTAGTTGTGAACAAGATGTCGAACACCTTTTGACTTTTAAGACTTGTTCAAATTGTCATAAAAAGTTTGGAACATGCTTTTCAGAACTCGTAATATGCCCAGAGACGCCAGAACAGAGGGCAGCAAGGGCAGCTGTTCCCTTTTTTTTTACCAGCAGGGGCAAGGGGGACAAAAATGCCCTTTCATTTTAAAGGATTAATTACATCCTATATCTGAAGTAGAAGTGCCACAAACGAACATCAAAATAACACAATTCCTCTAAATGCCTCATTAGTCTTTAGGCACAGAAATTATCTGGGAAAGAGAAAGCATGAGGATTGGAAGTTCAACTGACGATGTTTTGCAAACTTTCTTTATTAAGGTGTCGCTAAAGGTGTGCCCTTTCACGAAAAACTGCCCCCTTTGCCCTTGCATTGTTCTGGCGTCCCTGAACATGCCCGATGAGATCTGTTATAAGATAGCTCACAGAATTCGAGACATGTGCGTCATGCACTTAGCTCTGTTTAGGTAGAATACCCTATCTGTTTGGACTTGCATATTTGTGAACAATTCATGAAATCTGAGTGATTGAATTTTGGTATATGTTTGATTGGTCAAAAAGCCTGACAATCAAACAAATGATCAACAGTAATCACAGTAAGAGAGTTGTTTACAGTACTTGTACATAGACATGCCAGGCAACAAATAGATGCAATTTCTTTATCATCTGCTTACTACTCAAACACTGAAACATAAACACTTAAACAAAAACACTGAAACATAATAAAATATTTGAGGCTTATCCATCCATGCTAAAATTTTCAATATTATGTTTAGTGAAGACAAGCAATATCCAAGAAATTAAGTGCCTCTTTAGTTTGACAGTTTAAAATGAACAAACAGAAATGTTTATTGACCTAAATTCTATGGAAATCTAATCTACCTTTTTAAGGTTTGGCGTCAATTGCAACAGGACTGGATCTATCATTGCTTGCTCCTCGAAAGAAGATAACTGTCTTACTGATTGGCAATCATTCTGCTGGCAAAAGTTCATTTGTGAATTGGTAAGATGATTCTCTCACTCAAAATATTGTGTTTGGAAAAGTTATGCAACCCCAAAGGTTATGCAAACAGCAAACCTCTAAGTAAATCCAACCCTTGATGATTTATTATACTTCTCCAGGTACGTAGAGGAACATGTGCAGAAGACAGGAGTAGCCATCGAGACACAAGGATTCACATTTGTCACAAGTGGCAGAAAACGAGAGTCACTCACAGTAAGTTTTCTGGTGTTTTTTTGATATTTATACACCAATATTTTTCATTGAAAACAATCAATGTTTATTATAGGGGCAGGCTACCTTGCATTTGTATCCACATTTCAAAGAGCTTGTTGGCTTTTCCGGTAAGTTTCTTTTTTCTCCTGACTTTCTGGCCAAACTTGCATTGTGGGTTCATATAACAACCATCACAAAATTCTAAAGAGCACTAGATCATTCAACTTTAATCTTTATTGTTAGGTGTCGTTGAGTATCTTTCTACCGAAATTTCAACATCAAAACAAAAGAAGTTTAGCTTAGTCACCTTTGTGGATACACCTGGTTTGGTCGATGGTGACATGAAGTATCCATTTGATGTTGATGAAACTATACTGTGGCTAGGTATGTTAAATGCATATTATATTCATACTACAGGAATTTAAGCAGAATTTTTTTTACAGGATATATTGAGTTTGAAGATTCAATCTTTATGTAGTATGGCAGAGCAGTCATTCATTAGCTTTTACTTCTACATGTAGTTGTTCATTTTAGAACTGCCACCCCTGGAAACATGGTGATATATCAAATCAAATTTTTCCATGAGTTAGGATCTTACCTCACCCATAATTCTGCTGTTATTCATAGAAGAAATAAAGACTGTTATTATTATTATCTTAAAAGGGAACAGAGCGGACCTCATATTTGTCTTCTTTGATCCAATTGGCCAAGCTCTGTGTAAAAGAACTTTGAATATTGTCGGTAGGTTTCACAACATCCATATAACAACAGATATTGACCCAACTATTAAGAAAAACCCCAGCCGCTTTCGCAAGTTTTGATGCGATTTTTAATGCGATCTCCTCCCTTTGATAGATGTGAACGAGCGTATAGTTATGGATGCTCTGATGTTGAAGTGCTCTTCAACGAACATTCAGTAACTTCCTCGCTCGTTTACATCTATCAAAAGGAGCAGTGCGCCTTCACTTAAAGTCGCCTTAAAAAATTCGATAACCGTTTCTCGTTTTAGAAAAATTGAACGAAAAACAACCTGACCGAATCAGGTTTTACCTCAGCAAGGCGGACACGGCCGGTCACGAAAGCGATCGACAGGTAGAAATCTTTACTCTCCCGAGGAGACTGGATTCCATTTGACTGGGCTATTATACTGCTGGATTCTGGAACGATAATTTGTAGCGGGAAATTCAAGCCACTTCCTTTTTTAGTATGTTTTGAGCCGAAATGATCAACACTAACCATTGAAAACTCTATTTAGTTTACGTATTTTAAACTTGAGCTAATTAAGAGAGAAGTATTCAAAAACCTAAACAGTAATTGCCGGTCAAGTGGCATTTGTTTTGGTATTTTTGTAATACACTCTGAATAGACTTTATGCATAATGACGTAACAAGCCGTGACACCTGCAGGGAATTCTGGTCTTAGTAGTCACGGCGGGTAATTTTAAAGTTTGAATTTTTCGCCGTGACTACTATAACCAGAATTCCCTGCAGGCGTCACGGCTTGATACGTCATTATCACTGATAAGGTCATTCAATAGGATGCGTTATCCAGACTTTGTATATGTATCAGTGTTTTGCAATATGTTGAATTCTAGAGAGTATTGATGCAGATCACACAAGAGCTGTGTAAAAGACCTGGATTAAACAAGGCTGGATTTGATATGCCGACCATATACGTTCCGAATTTGATCGATAAGGTGATTACGTGCATTCTATATTGACTGTTTATCGACTATTATGCATTTTCAGTCGTTATCTGCGATCTTATAGATATTTGCCATGTTTGTTTTCAATATTGTCTTTAAAATTCCGCGTGCATATTTAATAGCCTGCCAGATGTGTGAATCAAATTGAAGAAGTGTGCAAGGAGATTGAAAAAACCATAAACCAAACGATTCAAAATACCTTGAACACTTTGGAAAAGGATTGTCAGAACATCTCGACACTCATCGATAAGAAACTAAAAGAAGACAGGCAAGTGTATTGCATTAATCCCATCTCTCTCATCTAAGAAACTGCTCGAATTTGAACACTTTCTTCACGAATTTCCTTTTTGCGGAGAAAGCGTGTTTTTGAAAGAACAATGCGCAAAGTTGACCAATCAGAAACGTGCTTTATCCGCTAACTACGTCAAAACAAAGACTTCCTGTAAAGGTCTATATATAGTTACTGAACGACCAGAATCAAGTATATGTGGAGGTAACTCTGACTTACCTATTGAAAATGTTGTTGAAAGTTTTCATACGAGCAGCCCCAGATGTAAAAATTCCACCTACGTTGCTTGAATTATTTTTCTAATTGATTTGTTTAGTGAGAATCGTTCTTCTAATCTCTGGGCACGGTTTAAAAGCTATCTGTTTATTTTGTTTGGATTGGTCATGCCGTTTGCACTGATCTTGAGTGTTTTAGCGAAGCAAGGCGATGTATTACAAAAACTAATTGGTAAAAATTTGGTCGAAACGCTTCATATTTATACGGTAAGCTTTCGGAAATCTATGAAGTAAAGTTTCCTATATAATACCAGCCTGACTATAGCTGGTTTCACTCGTGTGACAGATTTAGCACTTGCTGGTCGACTCCAGATGGGAAAATATTTATCAAATCAAGTAGAATCTTCATTGTAGGTTTTGACCTAATGTTGAGTAGATGTTATGTGCAATTTAACGAAATTTGCTCACTTCCACAAGGCATAATTCAGCAATAAGTGTACCACCTAGTGTTTCGCTATGTGTTAGTCTTGAAACCCACCTATAGTCTAGTCTTTGCCCCAAAAGTTGCTAAACTCCAAGTGCAGGCACGTGTCGTTAAATTCTAATAAGATAAACATTTTTTGTTTTGTTTTCAATCTAGACTCCTGTAGAAAAACTGTGGTCTTCAATACCTCCCAACTATTATAATCATTTCCTCATTACTATTGTATTATTCTCAATACTCTTTCTAACCTTGGCGAAATTCGTGGGAAGGTAAGCCAAAGCCGGTTTATGTCGTATTATTGATGTATCCGTTTCTTATTTGTAGTCAGTTTCGTTATTGATACCTTTTCTCACCGTCAATGTTTATTTCCAAGGTTGAAGCCTACATTAAGCCGTAAACAACAGCGACTACTGGCCGAAAGGAAAAGTTTTGTTCAAACTGTTGTTCATCCTAAAAGGGTAAGTGTTTGGATTAGTCTAATTCTACTCAATCCTGATTGGCTGTGACACTGACCCACGTGACCCGCGGATCAGTTGTGCGCGCAAAGTCGCGGGGGGGGGGAATTCCTAACAATCTATTCTGCCTGGCATTGAAGACATGGAAGCAGTCAAGCAGCCTATTTTTGACAAGCTATAACACTGGTAAATTATTTTTCAATTTAGGAGAAACTGTATAAAGAATACTTACAGCAAAGTGTAGCGGAACACGACTTATAGATTTAGGTAGAAAAATTGAGATTCTAAAATATGGAACAGTAGAGATTCTGTAAAACGTGAATATTTTTAATATTTAACCCTACACTTAGACTAAACTTTATAGTCATTAGAGTGTTCACATTCTACGAAGTCTTTGCTGTCCTAGATTTTATTATGCAAGCTTCTGAGCGGTTTCCATAATTGTGATCCTAACTAGTACATTCACACTGTAAGTCTGAAATAATTTATAATAATAATAATGATAGTGATAATATTTTTTCGTTAATTACTTATAAACGCGTACCTTTTAGAAACTAGAAACTAGAAGCTTTCAGTAACCTCAAAATATTTTGGGAGAATTTTGATTGGATTTTAATGAATCAATCCAGCGTGTACAATCATATCAAGGTTAGACTCATCTCTCATATACAGAGCCCAGTTCTGAAGAAACTTGAACCACATCGAAGGCGTACCTAGCGTAGTCCTGTGACTTGGTGAAGTGCAAGAACTACTGGTTAAAATTTTGGCGAATTCCTAGAAAATATTGAGGAATATATTAGACACTAGACCAGCGGGTTCCACTAGACACACAGCATTTGTCATTTGAAAAAGTAAAAGTTTATTAAAAACACCATGGATAATAAAATGAAAGTCTTTTAACTATCCATGAAAACACGAAGTAAGTGAAGTAAGTGAGGGATGGTCAGCTCCATTTCACATATATAGCTCAGTGAAAATAGGAAATTATTCATCTAGTGCTCAGGCCCCCAGACCCGGGCGATTGCTTCACAGGTCCAAATTCAGCATGGCTGCCACACGAAGGTTGACTAAGGTAAGAAAAACTGCTTTTTACTGCTTTAACCTCAAGCAAAACTTTGTTCTTCATTTCACAAAAGTCAGGGAGGCTTTCGAGTTCATTTTTATTGTGCTAGCTCGATTCTCACTGCCGTATTTTGACGGAAAGCCTAACCCATTTTGTAGCCACAGTTTCGCTTTGTCGTATAAAAAGCTATTCTACGTTCCCGAACTTGCTCGCTGTGTATCGAAAAAAATCTGTTTGCTTGAAGTATATAACAAGCGGCAACTTGTTGCTAGGGGTCATCCATTCTAGCTTTGTTAAGCGTTTGTTTTAACAGCGTTTGTAAGTTACGCCGAAGGCTGCTTCTATTTTAATAAAAGGAAGTTGTCGTTTGCGATGATTTCGTCTGAAATGTGTTGTATTTTTCAGGAATTGAACGACATACGAAAGTCCGGAATCAAAGTTTTCCGTGATATAAGAGTAGACGAAACGAACATTCTGCAATGGCAAGGACTCATAGTGCCCGTAAGTTGTCAAAATTCGTTTTAAACTGTTTCTTAGCTACTGGGCGGAAACGGCATAATTTATCATGTTTTACAATAAATCGTTTTAAAATATTCACCTTGTTGACATGATTGCTGAACATGGCAATAAATTGATCAGATTTGAAGTATTAACTCTGTAAGGCTGATGTTCCAAGTATATTCTGAGTTTCTGACCCATAACAGATATGCTGTGGTTTTATTTTGCCTATTTTTTTGTTCAGATTGCTGTGATGATTTGTTTTATTTTTTGTGGACAATTAACCTGTTAATTTAAGTGTCTATAACAATCACTATTTCAACTTGACATTTGATGTGACAATTGGTTGCACTTTTTAAACAAAATAGTGTTACTTTTGCCTAAGGTACTGAATCTTGGTGTAGTAGTGAAGATATCTTCATGTTGTAGGAAAGATATCTTCATGCCCTAAAAGTGTTTAAAATTTAAGTATTATTTCATACTTTTCATGTATATGAAAAAGTAAGTAACAAATAAAAATGGTTTGATCCACAAAAGTTCCAGATAATTTTACCAGAATCCATAGGAATGCTGACTGTCGGTTGATCTGATCATGACACTAAATTGTGATTTTTTTCTAGGAATCTGCCCCTTACAATAAAGGTGCATTTAGAATTGAGATAACATTTCCAGCAGAATATCCATTTAAACCACCAAAGGTAAGGACACTGATATACGCCACATGGCTAGTCCATTCAAAGTTCGTCATGTGTTTATATACCAGATATATGCTTTTGTAAGTTCACCCCAGGCAAGTACTTGGTTTAGTTCCCTGCGTGATAGTTTTGCAGTTATTTAGGGCCACTTTATAGCTTGCTATTAATTACCTGATTTAAAGTTAATGGTTGCTAACCATAAAGATTTTCTGCAATATTTAAGCAAGTAACTCTCAAGTTTGTTCAATATTTGGCCGTCATGTATGACAATCTTAAACCACCCTGAATGGAAAATGTATGTTGCCATGGTCGATTTTAAGAAGTATTCGCTTTTCATTGTTAGTATTGAATAAATCTAAGTAGTAAAATATAAAAATTTTGAATAAATACCCCTGCGCCAAAATCCACAAACTTTATTACAAATATTACTAATTGTAATGCTTCTGAACACGGTATTCTAGATAACATTCAAGACAAAGATATACCATCCCAATATTGATGAAAAAGGGCAGGTGTGCTTGCCAATCATTGGTGCTGAAAATTGGAAACCTGCCACTAAAACGGATCAAGGTAAAAATTATTCAGACATAAGAGTTGATATTTCTTTGACAATTCATAAATTTTGTATATAACACACAGACAAATAAATTATAGCCATTTTCGGCCCTGCGTTCTACACCATTTTGCAACTAAACTTTGCAGTTTAACTCACTCTATGGGATAGTCTTTTTAGCTGAAGTTTTTTTAGTTCGTTCATAGGAGTTTATTTCAAATAGAATCGTCCATTTTTCGTTGTAATCTAAGTGAGCTGTTTGGCGTCCAATTTGACTGTTACAGGGTTCTTTGACGAGATGTTAGACTGAATTCAGGCCATGCATTAATTAACGAACACCGCATTAAGTAATCCACTAACTATGGACTTCATTTTCAATGTGTTGTTCGGTATTCATCTTTTTCTGTTTATATTTTTTCCAGCAGAAACAAATAAAACTAAACTCCCTACATTCAACATTTTAGAGATGCATGAACCAGTAAAGAATACCTTAAATAATTTCTAGTCAAGAATACAACATACTCCAGTTTATTATTGGACAAAAGAGTTGTAAGAAAAGAAAGGGATGTAGCTACATAACCCCCCAAAAGTGGTGCTACTTTAGAAGTTAATGTTTTGTGTGAAAATTGTGCACTTCGGAAAAGCCCAGCAAGTTCCCAGCATTATTTTTGCAGCTTTTTAACTATTTGCCTTTAAGCGGAAGTCATTAAATTTCAGCACCAAATACTGAGGGTTTTCAATAGCTTTATTGTCATATCATTTTTTTCAACAAAACGATTGATGTTTCTGCAAAAAAGCCTGAAAATGATCGGGCTAAATGCCATGTGTTATCATTTCAGTTCTGTTTGTTACATGGCGTTGTTACACGGCGTATCATCATTGTCCTGTGTATGATAAGGTTCGCAGGCGACGATCCGCCATTTTGATTTATTACAAATTATCGCCCACGAAGCATGGGATACGTCATGTAACTTACTTGAGTGTATGCGGGTTTCTAATTTCCTGAGGAATAGGGAGCGCTATTCAAGCACCACTCAGCGCCTGGAATGTTTTATTTTTATTAAAGTTAATCTTAATCCAAACCTTAATCTCAACCCTTAATCCAAACTCTAATTCACTGACCTAATTTCACAAAATTAATATGGAAAATTACACTGTATGCCTTAGAGGCTTGGGGACAGCGGCGGGGGGGGGGGGCTACTTTTAATAAATAGTGATTCAAGCTTTGGTAGCGTTAGTCACCGTATATTGTCTTATTTTCGGGGGGGGGGGCATAAAAAGGAAACACTACGTGTGTTGTTAACGATAGAGATTATAAATAACACTAGAAGGGGCATTGGTATCGGAAACTTCAGTCGAAAAAGGGAGCGCTCTAATAGAAAGCAAATTCAAGTCCCGGATGCTAAGCCAAGCGCCTATTGGTTACATGGCCTCTCCTTAGCAACCACGTTAGCTGTTAGCAACAACCAAAATTTGTATGAAAAAAATCGATTCGTTTTTTTAGGTCGCTTTGCCGGTTTTTAAGGAAAAACAGTGTTTTTTTTAACTCGTTTTACTACCTTAGACATCCTGAAATGATATTTTTGGCCAAAAACCATTTAGAAATAAAAATATATCGTTTAAAACGACTTGTTTTGAGTCTCGGACATCGTGAATGAGCGAACATTCGGGACTTGGATTTGCCTCTCCTCGATGCCCCGGGCCCTCTAGTCTAGTGTTATTTCTAATCTCTATGGTTGTTAACTGTATTGGATTGCTCTTAGTAATTCAAGCGTTGGTAGCGTTGGTGCAAGACCCGGAGCCGGAACACCCGTTGCGTGCAGACCTAGCTGAGGAATATACTAAAGATAGAAAGAAATTTATGAAGAATGCTGAAGAGCATACCAAAAAACACGCGGAGAAAAGACCTGCAGACTAACAGCAATCACGAATCACTTTTCACAGCTATCTTGATAATGTAGATTGTAAAATTTCCCTTGGACAATGAGAATGGTGACAACTGGCCAGAAATTAGCTAATTTTTTTGTTCGAAACAAGACTTGTTTGTATGGACAGGTTTATGCCTTGACTACTTCCGAGATCTCCAAATCGGATTCTCGGAGAGAAAGAACTGTAACTAGTTTTAGCGGGATGCCGGATTGAAAGCGAGGCAAAACTTCAGGACAAAAGTTCGTAAACCGAACTTGGAAGATCCTAAAGGGAAAATTACCCTCTTTTTTTCCTGTTCCACAATATCAGACGTCCTTATACGCTATAACCTTATGCAAACCGGTCTGTTCTGATCTTAGAGATAACAATATTTTTTCATGTTAGTTTTTTTTGCGTTAGTTAATTCACCACATTAGGTACTTACAGGTTGTCCCGAAAAAAAGTAGCTCTCTATTAAAGTCAGATCTTAAGTTGTGAACCTTAGAAGTTATACTTTTAGGAACTTACAATAGCTTAACGGCTGTACTAAGATATCAATTTCGTCTTTACCGCCAATTCGAGCACGAACGGTGCAAATGACTACAGAACAACGGATGTTTGTTGCAAAGCCAAAGGAAAAGTAACCTTGAATTTTTTTGTGAATTTTTTTGCCTAATTTTCGCTGTGTTGTTATTTCGCCCATAAGGAAGATATGATATTCCGCCATTCACTCCGTTCAATAGCGAGACGTATCGCAACCGATCTGATTTTAACGGAAGATACCTTTTTGGGGGGACAGCCTGTATAGCAAACCTTCAAAGTTTGTTTAGCAAACCTTCGAAATTTGAATACCTCAACACTTAATAGAATACTTGATTTGTACATTTCAGTAACTGGCCCGCGAGGATCACATTTTCCTAGAAAAGAAATGATTACGCAATATCAAACTCGGTGCCCATGTTCAACTTCCATCGCAACGTGTTTTTTCTCCGGGCGAGGTTGAGTTCTTCAAATTTTCCATGCTTTTGTTCTCATTTATGCAAATATTTGTACGTTTTTGTTTATTTGTGTAATGCCATTGGCCAATTAAATTCGGAATAGTAAAATCTATTTGAACACGAAAATCTAATTACGAAGACTGTTAGAGAATTCTCTATGAAGGATGTGAACGTTCCTACAAGTACAAACCATGTTTCTATTAAATATGTTCACTCAACTACAAATTTTGTCATCCAGATACGAAATATCTAAAATAGGAGAACAATGCTTTTCTCGAGCCAATGGTTATATGATGTAGACAAGGTATAAACTTATTATTTGAATACAATTCACAATACGTATTGATCAGTACATATTTGTCAGTTCTCAAAGCCCGTTTACGCTTGCAATTTTTGCTGCATTTTTCTTCCCAGTAGATGCGAACGAACAAATAGTAGGTTTCCCCCCCCGTGCCAATACGTCATCGGCAAGCGTGGTGACATAATGGACGGGGGGTAAATGCTTTAATGAAAGTGGCTGGTTACTAGTTTGAACTAGAAATGACGTCTTTCTCTTCTGAGTGCTGCTCTACGATATAGTATCTCTCCACTCGTTCATATGCATCAAAAAGTGAAAATCTAACTCAAATTTGGTAGAAATTTGCAATTGCTAACGGGTCTCTATATAATATGCTTGAATTGCTTGTAGTCTTTCGTGATATGACATGTAAATTATGATTGTGTGGAATGCAAAGGTAGTGACTGTGCTTTTGAAGTATTGGTACTCTATATGCATGTTATTAAATATATTAGTAGAACTATATTCTTTTAATATTTCAATTCGTTTATAATTATATATTGTGATCATTCGAAATGTGGCTGTTTTGGATCGGACATGCGTGGTTCATTGATATTGTTGATAACCTGTTCACAACCACTGATCTGATAATGCACTGGATAATAGCAGCTATATACTAATCTTCTGGTTTTTGTCTTCTAAAGGTATTCTGCGTTTTTTTTATACGTGTACTTATCAGATCAGTGTTCAAAACCAAAACCCAGTTAAACTATCCCTGGGTAAGCTAAGCCATACGTCATAAAGATCCTCTCTGGTTCACAGGACGGACAAAAATATTTGACACAAGGTAAAATATATATGTATATAGAATATATATGCAAAATATATATGTAAAATATATATGCATGCTCCTTCAAGATATTTTAGATCTTTTCCTTATTGGTAAAAGCCTGTCGTATACTCTGGCTACGAGGTTGTGGGATGGCATGCATATTCTGTTTACAACGGGAATCACACTAACATATTAGCCGAATTCATATTTCAGGGACGGGAAACTCATCTTATAGACGGGAAAGTACGTTGATAGTAAAACCCCGTCTGAATATGAATTGTGATGGATAAATTCATAGGTATGATGGGTCGGGTAGCTAATGCGTAATCATTACGATAATAATTTTGTTTATTTTCCCTTAACCATGTTCCGTCCTTGAATGTGTCGATATTTTAATAACTAGTCTGATTTACCCGTCTAAATGCCAATTTAGGACGCGTCTCTCTACTAAACCGGATTCCCATCCAACTTACCTGTCTGTTTATAGACGGAAAAATTCGGACGAGGAACCTGTCTATGACCGGATTCACATCAGAGGTGTTTCCCGTCTTCGATGAGTTTCCAGTCTAAGACGAGTTTCCCGTCTCTAATATATGAATTCGGCTAATGTCTCAAATGGTTTGCAAGTCAAAGCGACAACAAATTCCTATTTATATAGAGGCTATTATTATGGCCCTACTTCGTCACTCACTTGCAGTATCAATCATTATTTTAAGAGAAACATCTAAAAATATATATTGAAGAATTAGAATGCATATTCATTTGGACATCCTGCATGTTGTAAACGTCATCATCATTCTTTGTTATAAAAATAGTGAAGGAGAATATGCATTACATCATTGTTTTAGAGTAAACATATCTAAAAGTATAAAGCCTTGGTCAAACTGCCGCAACATTTTGTTGCAACATCGTCCAACAATGTTGCAACAAAATGTTGCGGTCGTTTGACAACCCTTTTTCAGAATGTTGCATGATGTTAGAACATGTTGCGTTGAGTTTGACTCCAGTCAAATTTTAACGCAACATTTTGTCACAATTTCTGGAGTTGCGATCGTTTGACCACTTGCAAACAACATTGTTGTCGTTGGGCATGCGCATCAGACGTTTTTGGCATGAAATTTGAATACAAGATGGCGGCCATATTGCTCACCTAGGCAACATATGCCGGGATTGGCAACATATGACGGGATTGGCAACATATGCCGGGATTGGCAACATGTGCCGGGATTGGCAACATATGCCGGGATTGGCAACATATGCCAGGATTGGCAACATGTGAAAGATAACGAAGGTTGGTACGGTTTGACCAGTCTGGTCGAATATGATGTCAACAAGCCGCAACATGTGCCAACCATGTTGCATGATGTTGCAACGAAATGTTGCGGCCGTTTGACCAAGGCTTAACAGTTTCATGCTACACCACGAACACTGAGGTTAAAGATCTTTTACGACAGTGAATTGCAGTATCATGTTGATAGTGTGAAATGTTGACGGATTTTTGTGATATTGTGTGTCTGCAGCTCCTGTGACGTTTTCAATCTTGATCATTTGACGACCACATCCTATACCAACTTAGACGTATTGGCCCATTCAACAATCAAGCTATTTTGCATGAGGAAATTTATTCATGAACGCTCAGATATACTCAAAGCTCTGATATGAAATCTGAATGAGCTTTAAAAATGGGGGCCAAGTTATCAACCTTATTCCTTTTACATATATTATATATATATTATATGTTTCGTAAAAAATTCGTAAAATAAAAATGCAGTATAAATTGTAAACGGTCTGCTGCACTCCCAAAGCTGCACACCGAAATTTCGAACCGGAATCAAGAAATTCGGGCAACGTTCAGCCGAAAATTCGGGCAAACTGAAAAAGAGTTATATGGCCGGAATTTTTGAAACCAAATTTTGTCATATATATAATATATTACACGTGATTTGTTATATGACTCGCGTGGGCCTTTTCGCGATAGTTGCGCGTTCAATATATGAAGCCGCGCACACTAGTTATTGTCAATCAAAAATGCATGCACCGTAGTCGGTATTTTGATGATTTACGCTGGAGAATGATTTACCAACGATTGTTTTCTGACCGAGAGTTATGATGAAATAGCATCAAAGCTCTTTGATAGCTCAAGAACTGTCATGCGAACGTTTCAGACGTTTTTAAACACGGGTGATGCGAAGCCTTGCCGTTTCGGTAGTCCAACGGGCAGCGTAATATTATCCCCACACGAGGAATATATTGTCATGGATTGCTTGCTTCGAATGCCCCAAATCCAGCTACATGAGATGACAAATTACATTCTCCACGCCAATGGTTCTTCTTTTGGTCCAGAAACGCTATGCCGCGCTGTATATATGCTAGGAATGACGCAAAGAAGGTAAGCGGCTGTTTAATTAGGCTTAATATTGCACGAGTGACACTATTCTCACAGTCCTAAAACTATAATAACTCGTACAACATACCTGTTTGCTATTTACAGATTTAGCTATAATTGCTTGCAACGCTGATCGATAATTAATTAATAGCTACACGGCCAAAATTTGATCAGTTTGTCGCATCACGAGTGAACAATGTTGTGTTGCACCCTGGGAACAGTATTGTTAACAATGTTGTTGAAGCTTGTTGAGTCATCAATGTTGATGCAATGTTGTTGTAACAACTTGTAACAACATTGATGATTCAACAAGCTTCAACAACATCGTTAACAATACTGTTCACAGGGTGCAGCACAACATTGTTCGCTAGCTCCTGTTTTTAACAACTTGCATCAACATGATGATTTATAGATACAGAGAATTGCCCTACACTACAGCGAAATGAAATGCTCAGACTACAGTTCCAAGCCGAAATGCTTAATCCGAACCAACTAGTTTTTGTTGATGAAACAGGCATTGTAAGTATATTACAGCATTTTATTTCCTTGTATTTACAAGTCACAGCAGAGGGTGTCTCTTATTCAATATTCCTTAATTCGTGTATCTGTAAGACAAGCGAATAGCTCGGCAATACGGATATAGTCTTCGAGGAACGAGACCTGTTGTTAGCGATTACAGCTATTCACGATTGGCACCGATTATTCTGCAATTGTGGCAATCTCAAGTGAAGGTATTATTTGCATTCGCCTCATGAAAAATCCCGAAGAAAAATTGAATACACGCTCGTTTTCATGAAACGTTCGCATGACAGTTCTTGAGCTATCAAAGAGCTTTGATGCTATTTCATCATAACTTCCGTCATAAAACAATCGTTGGTAAATCATAAATATATATATATATTGGACATTGTAAACTTGTTCCCACAATCTTGTTTTCACCTTTAAGTCCATACACGATGTAAAAAGGATGGAAAATAAAATGTGCATGCCCCTTCAATTGATTCCCTTATGACAATCAATATATATAAACATAATTGATTAAGCGCGTTTATATACTGAGAGTTATAAGAGCAAAATATGATACGCTTTTTCTAGTAATATGGAACATTCTCATAAAGAGTATTTTCAGCATATTGCTTTACCAGCGTTATACATTTTCACTTTGTTATATTGCTGCATAGGATTTGCGTTGAAGACGTCTTTCGTTTAATTAATATTTATTCCCGGATAAATCATACCAAAGCCCTCAAGACGACAACATTTTGGCACCGAAATTTAGTAAACACTTTTTAGCTCTGCTTTTTGTTTTCATCTCCCCTGCTATAGATCAAATATTATAGTATTGTTACGAAATGCGAATATACAGGGTGTCCCAAAAAAACGCAACAACTTAAATATGAAAGAATATTAATATTGTTCGGCTTTGCACCATAGTTCAGCTAAAATGACTTTTAGCATTGTAAATGAAGGATTACGAGCCATTTTCAATTCCCAGAGGTGCTTATCTATTGCGCTTTAGAGCTGTATTAATGTTCTGCATATTTAAGTGGTTGCTTTTTTTTGGGACACCCTGTATAATGTAATTTAGCATTGTTAAAAAATAGAAGGTCAATATCGATGAGGAAATTACTTGGGGAACATGTCACATAAAATGATGTGTAAAGTAAATATTATTATGACCCTTCGGAATCACAAAATTACTTTTCCTGTCATGAGGTGACAGCCCATGGGATTTCCTCCGAAACAATAGTATGTCGTACAAGGTTCAAGTGTCACGACTCAAGAACATAAGTTCTAGGCGGATACTAGTTTGTGTCAATCATTTCTTTGTTATATTTTGCTCGGTTAAGCACTTGAAGCCTTACGTCACTAAAAGCTAAATTCGATGAAATTATTAGTAAAATAGTTTATAAGTTGAGATACGGTTCACAAAGTAATAATTTGGTAATTGTACTTTATGTTAATGATAATATCTTAAGTTGTGAACAAGTTTTAACAGTGATCGATTAAGTAAAAGACGAACTTGACTAGTGCGTCACCGCCCTTAAGTAAACAAAGTAGGAGAGCTCGACCGACCTTCTAACGCCAACCCACTCTTGCAACCTACAACGCTGACTAGTTGGATAGAGTGAATCACATAAACTTGCACAGGGCGTCTTCAAGATCCCCTCAAATTTTATTATAAAAGGAGGCGCACAGCAACAGAACCCTCAGTGGACTAGCGAAGTAAAAAGCATATGAAACGTTTGAGAAGCTCAGCTTTACAAAACCAACGACCAAAGACAGGGACAGCAACGACGAATATTAGAAGAAGAGAAGAGAAGAACGGAGAAAGAAGAGAACATTAGTGAACTTTAGTAAAACCTTGTAAAGATCTCCTACCTCGCGTAAATAGAAAAAAAAGCTACGTAATAGTATATAATTCACTGAATTTTCAATTGACGGGCTGAATTTTTTCCCTGCATAATTTGTGACAGCAGATCAGTTTTCAGACACACAAGTGATTCATTTCCCGTCTCTAACATCATTGTGTGCAAAGTGTGTGGAAGCATGTGAAGGTCAGTATCGAAATGTGTGGTCGCAGCGCAGATAAACGATACTATTTAAACTAGCTTGCCTTCCCGATCTTGTTCACAACATCCTCATCTGGCTGTTGAATTCAGACAAGCAAGAATATTATAATATATTTCAGGTACGATTTTTTTCTTCATATAGACCCATGGCCTTAAATACATTTATCTCTTTCATACTCCTCCGTATACCAGATATTTTTATTTTATTAGTGTTTACTTTAAGATTACATGTAAATAGCTAATTTTTTCTTCCACTTTTTAGGAAAGAGAAAGTATCAAAAGCTTTTGTTTCCGTTTTTGATCGAATTTGTGGACAAAATATGAAAGCAGGTAGCTAGCTATATACGTATAATAAACAATTATTGAATGAGGTTGAGCAGGATATGAGGAATTATTAAGGCCGAGGTTTGTGTTATCTGCCGAAGCCGAAGGCTGAGGCGGATAACACAAACCGAGGCCTTGATAATTCCTCATATCCTGCGAGAACCGAATTCAATAATTGTTTTATTATTTATTTGCAAAAATTGAACCTTTCCTTTGATGAAGCCATTCGTATTTTCCCGCTTTTAGGTTTTGGCACAAGCCGCATAAATTAGCGTGACGTCATACCGTGCAATAATTTTTTTCATATCTGACGAAGTGACGTCAAACGTGCAATAATTTTTTTCATATCCGACGAAGTGACGTCACTGTCCAAATTTGGGCAGCTGCCGAGCGGATATGACGATTTCGCCAACAGCTGCTGGCCAATCAAAACTCTTGACTCATTTTCAATAAATAATAATATCATATAACATCTAGATTGTATATGCATGGGTTGCATTTTTCTATTTCTGATATGAAGCGACGGATTATTTTCTCTCGCTTTTTATACTTTCATTTAAACGCCTGATATCTACAACTATATATATAGTTCTTAAACTGATTGATTGTGATGTTTTTTAAAGATTTGTGTGTCTTTGTTGTTCTAAGCACAGTTTACTTGCTGCCAAGCTGTGTCCACGCTGGAGGGAGTAAGCAACTATAAGTGTAATAATTCTTCTGGTAAAATTAACTCTATACGTACATTTTGGGCCGCCCGAACAATGCGAAACCACACTTCTGTATATCGATTTTAATATTATTTTATTGTCATAATTTGCCGTTCCTCTCGTATTGTAGTGTGTGCTAATGATGGCAACACATACATCGATTTACGTTTGTTGATAAAAACTGCTCATGAGTTCAATCAAAACATTAGGATTGTTCGTTGGAATCGTTGCAGTGAGTATAAAACGTCTACTAAGTTTAGAGGTCATAGAAATCTCGGTGATAAACTGATAATCGCGAGTTTAAAAGTCAGTCGCAAGCAACGTAAACATGAACATTAAGCAAATAGCGATTGAGTTCACAGTTCGAGCTTGGGATTTAAAAAAAGCCAAATAAGACAACAATTTTTCTTCGAAATGCATGCTGTGACAATCAAAGTGCACCGCTTTTTCTTTCCAATGAATTCATTTGGTTATAATATATATAATATTTAGCTATATGTTTATTTCGCTGCTTTGACAAAACATAAATTGAACATTGCTCGTGTTTTACTAGTTTTTCTGTTTTTATTAGTTCCAAAGTGTAGACGATATATCACATGTGATAAATACGAACGTCAATGTGGTACAGACGGCAAGACGTATCCTAGTTCATGTTCCTTTAAAATTGCTCAATGTGAAAGTGATGGAGGAATTACACTGGACCATCATGGAGCGTGTTGACGTAAGTCTTCCATTGTTTACCAGCTTATATTATGAATTGACTTAAATGTAAAGCCAATACGGGCAATAGCAGATGTTTCAAATTTTTCGGAAACAAACACGTCAAATGTTGTTTTTCGATTATTGAATTCATGCAGTGCATCGTTGCAGTCGACTCTATAATAGCTTTAAAATTATATTTATTCTATCAGAACCCCGAATTACACTTTTAAGAACTCTTTTTGATGTTAAAACGATGATGTAAAGCCGTAAATAGTCGGTTAGGTAATAGCAAAACGACATACGAAACTCATCAAGATGCATCTGTACAGCAAACACGTAATAAACAAAGTAGCCACCTACCATTTCAAGATTATAACTAGCGAGTTGTTCCTTTTTTCCGCCAGTAATATTTTAATCTTTTTTCAGTGTTTATATCATTTTATTTGATTCCACATTTCATATTCTGTAACTGTGTACGAAACATTTTTAAAAATAATAGTTTGCAATATCACAGTTAAATTGCTGACGTTTTTCATTGAAATAGCTACAAAAATTTTGTCTTAGTCAATCGGCAAGTTGCTAATTACCAGTTTTTACTCGTTCAATTTTTGCGCGTGCGCACAAGTACCATGACCATTGAACGTCGAACGTCCAGGGTCCATGACATAGAATTTGGACAACTTTGGATTCCGCTATGTTTTGTCAAAATACCCGGGTGTAATTCCTAATCTCCGGGCGGAATTAGTGACCTCGCCGACTCGGGGATTAGGAGAAGTATCGGCATAGGTAGCTCAGAAATCTGTTTGTACTCAGTCTTCGACTGCATTGTTTACGCGCGCGATCAGCTATTACTGTCTGCACTAATTACTGTACTATATATAATACTGTATCATATATAATACAGTTTGATATATAATATAATACAGTAATTAGTACAGACAGTAATAGCTGACCGCGCGCGTAAACAATGCAGTCGAAGACTGAGTACAAACAGATTTCTGGGTTTCCTATGGTATCAGTCGACAGAACTAGTGCGACCACTTCTTAAGAGGAGAGGCATTCGGGCTTAGGTGATTTCAGGGTATAACGATTATTGACAATACTGGTGTTCAATATTTTTTTTCATTTTTTCACAGAAAAGTAAACAAGATTGAAGAAGATTTGATGTCATATGTTTAGTGCAATTGATGTGTAGTTTGTGAAGCATACTGTAATCTTTTGTTTGGGGAAACATATGTTCTATTCTTCAATCAACTCACAAATAAATGGTTGATCATGAATCATCAAGATTCGTTATCTTTTTGCATACCTTTCTGAGTAGTTTTCAAAGTAATGGCTTCAAAAATTATTTTTCAGAAGAAAAAATTGAATTTTTGCATGTTTTGCATTGCATGTTCAGCTTGCGATGTGTTTTGTCGCGGGTTCAACAATTTTTGCAATTGTTCTCATTTATGGAAATATTTGTACGTTTTGTATATTTGCATAATTCCAATTCTGTATATTGAAACGATTGGCCAATTAAACCCGGAATAGTAAAACATATTTGAATACGAAAATCTGATTATCTGTGGTTTAAACAGAAGTGAACGGTCCTACAAGTAAAAACCATTTTTCTATTAAATATGTTCACTCAACTACAAATTTTGTCAGCCGATAAGAAATATCTAAAATAGGAGGACATTGCTTTTCTTGAGCCAATGGTTATATGATGTAGACAAGGTATAAACTTATTATTTGAATACAATTCACAATACGTATTGATCAGTACATATTTGTCAGTTCTCAAAGCCCGTTTACGCTTGCAATTTTTACTATTTTTCTTCCTCGTAGAGTCGTAGATGCGAAGGAACAAATAGTAAGGAATATTATGATTAATATATGCATTAACACCGGTGTAGCGTATAATAACAAGAACAAGGTCGATAACCTGACCGCCATTTTTGAAGCTCATTCAGATTTCATATCTGAGCTTTGAGAAGAAAAGCATGTTTCCCCCCCGTGCCAATACGTCATCGGCAACCGTGGTGACATAATAGACGGGGGGTAAATGCTTTAACGAAAGTGATTGGTTACTAGTTTGAACTAGAAATGACGTCTTTCTGTTCTGAGTACTGCGGCCATATAGTATCTTCTCCACTTGTTCGGATGCATCAAAAAGTGAAAATCTTAACTCAAATTTGGTAGAAATTTGCAATTGCTAACGGGTCTCCATATAATATGCTTGAATTGCTTGTAGTCTTTCGTGATATGACGTGTAAATTATGATTGTGTGGAATGCAAAGGTAGTGACTGTGCTTTTAAAGTATTGGTACTCTATATGCATGCTATTAAATATATTAGTAGAACTATATTCTTTTAATATTTCAATTCGTTTATAATTATATATTGTGATCATTCGAAATGTGGCTGTTTTGGATGGGACATGCGTGGTTCATTGATACTGTTGATAACCTGTTCACAACCACTGATCTGATAATGCACTGGATAATAGCAGCTATACCAATCACGAACAGTGATGTAGTTAATATAGTGGTGTAGTTAATATATATAAATATATATATTTATATTTATTCATTTACATAATTCTTAAAAATTTGGCATCGCTACTCTGAGTTTCATGCCACAGAGTGGCAATCATCATTTAGAAATTTAGTCGCCTGATGATTGCCACAGTTCAGCTTGAAACTCAGAGTATAGCGATGTCAAATTTTTAAGAATTAATATGTAAATGAATATATAAATAAATATCGCTCTACTAGCTTGCAGTATTGAGCACTCTTTTATTTCATACGAAGAATTTCTTTGAATAATTGTTGTTTATTTATTAAAAGACTAGCTTAGCTACTCGGAGTTTCACGCTGTAAAGCGATCATCAGGCTAAATTTAGCCAGATATAAATAGATTTTCGCTCTGCCGCTAATGGTGTTGAGCACTCTTCAACTGTTGTCAAGTTCTGTGAACTCTTTGTTACAGTCAATTCTTTGTATATATATAAAGATCGATCGCTAAATGATCTTCAACATTTCAAACTATCAACTTGATCCATACTGCAATTCATTGCCTCAGTGTTCGTTGTGTACGTAGCATACAAGTTACCTTAAATATATTTATTCTACAGCAATAATGTAATGCATATGCTCCTTCAGTACTTTTAGATGTTTCCTTTATAACAAAGAATATGTAATATATATATAGCACAATGATCGATAGTGCGGTTAGAATAACGTTTACAACAGGATGTGCAAATGAATATGCATGTTAATTCTTCAATATATTTTAAGATGTTTCTCTTGAAATAATCAATGATAATGCATGTGAGTGACGAAATGGGGTTATTGTAACGTTTTTATATTAGTACCGGGTGGAAAAAATCTTTCCTATGTGGTCTCCATAAAGAGGAATTGTTTGTTGCTTTGACTTGCAATCCATTTCAGACATTGTTTGACTTGCAAGTTGCAATCCATTTCAGACACTGAAGTGTACCTATTAACTAACGAATATGTATCAACATGTGCGACTAAGTTTGGTTACTGTGTCGTTTTTATAAAAGGAATCGGTGACAAGCTTTCACTCTCCCTCATCAACAGTAATTTGAGGTTTGGTTCACCAGCGTTATCTACCAAAACCTATGTCACATGCATGCTTGCAATCTTTGTTTCAACAACCCACTTCATACATTGTAGACTAGCTTGTTCCCACAATCTTGTTTCCACCTTCAGGTGCAAACACGAACTAAAAAGGATGGAAAATAAAATATGCATGCCTCTTCAATATATTTTTAAATGATTCCTTATGACAATGAATATGTATAAACATGATTGAATGACTAAGTGCGTTTAGATTTATAAGAGCAAAATGTGACAAACTTTTCCTAGTAATATGGAACGTTCTCATGCATATAGAGTATTTTGAGCATTTTGCTTCACTGCAGCGTTATATATTTTCACCTTGTTATAATGCTGCATATATCTTGTTTTTATTTAAGGTACGTACATGAGATTTGCTTTGAAAACGTCTTTCATTTAAGCCCTGAAGACGACATTTGGCACCGAAATTTAGTAAACACTTTTTAGCTCTGCTTTTGTTTTCATCTTCCCTGGTATAAAGAACAAATATTATAGTGTATATAATTCAAATTGTCAATTGACAGGCTGAATTTTTTTTCTGCGTAATTTCTGACAGCACATCTGTTTTTAGACGCACAAGTGATTCATTTCCCGTCTCTAACATCATTGTGTGCAAAGTGTGTGAACCATGTGAAGGTCAGTATCGAATTGTGTGGCCGAGCGCACGTAAACGATACTATTTAAAGCAGCTTGCCTTCGTAATCTTGTTCATAACACCCTGCATCTGGCTGTTGAATTCAGACAAGTAAGAACATATATTTCAGGTATTTTTTTCTTCATAGGCTCATGGCCTTAAATACAGTTACCTTTTTCGTTCTTTCCTCATAAAAGTTATTTTTATTTTATTAGTGCATGTTTACTTTAAGATTGCATGTATAAATAGCTAAACTTTTCTTCCACTTTTTAGGAAAGAGAAAGTATTAAAAACTTTTGTTTCCGCTTTTGATTGAATTTGTGGACAAAATATGAAAGCAGGTAGCTATACACGTATAATATCACATAACATCTAGATTGTATATGCATGGTTTATATTATTTTTTCTATTTCCGATATGAAGCGACGGATTATTTTCTCTCGTTTTTTGCTCTCATTTAAACGCCTGATATCTACAACTATATATATAGTTCTTAAACTGATTGATTGTTATGATTTTTATAGATTTGTGTGTCTTTGTTGTTCTAAGCACAGTTTACTTGCTGTCAAGCTGTGTCCACGCTGGCGATAGTAAGCAACTATGAGCCCAATGATTTTTCAGTTAAAATTAACTCTACGACTACGTACATTTTGGGCCGCCCGGACAATGCGAAACCTCACTTCTTGCTGTATCGATTTTAATATTATTTTATTGTCATATAATTTGCCGTTCCTCCTCTAGAAATGCCGTCCCATATTGTAGTATGTGCATCAGATCACAACACATACGTCAGTATACGTTTGATGAGAAAAACTGCTCGTGACTTCAATCAAAAGATTACGATTGTTCATAAGGGATCTTGCGGTGAGTATAAAACTTCTGCTAAGTTTGAGGTCATAGAAATCTCGGTGATAATCGCGAGTTTATAAGTCAGTCGCAAGCAACGTAAACATGAACATTAAGCAAATAGCGATTGAATTTACAGTTCGAGTTGGGATTTAAAAAGAGCCAAAATAAGACAATTTTTCTTCAAAATGCATGCTGTAACAATCACCGGCCGCTTTTTGTTTTTTATGAATTCATTTGATTAAATATAATATTTAGCTAATGTTTATTTCGCTGCTTTGACAAAACAGAAATTGAAGATTGCTCGTGTTTTAATAGTTATTCTGTATTTATTAGATCCAAAATGTGCACAAGTTTGCTCACTAGAGTTGAATCCTCAATGTGGTACAGACGGCGAGACGTATCCTAATCCGTGTTCCTTTAAAATTGCTCAATGTGAAAGTGATGGAGGAATTAGACTGGCCCATCATGGACCGTGTGGTAAGTCTTGCATTGTTTATAAGCTTATATTATGAATTGACTTAAATGTAAAGCCAATACGGGCAATAGCAGATGTTTCAAATTTTTCGGAAACAAACACGTCGAATGTTTTTTTTCGATTATTGAATTCATGCAGTGCATCGTTGCAGTCGACTCTATAAATGCTTTAAAGTGATATTTATTCTATCAGAACTCCGAGTTACACTTTATAAGAACTCTTTTTGAAGTTAAAACGATGATGTAAAGCCTTACGAAACTCATCAAGATGCATCTGTACAGCAAACACGAAATAAACAAAGTAGCTACCTGCCACTTCAAGATTATAACTAGCGAGTTGTTCCTTTTCACCGTTAGTAATATTTTAATAATTTCTCAGTGTTTATATCATTTTATTTGATTCCACATTTCATATTCTGTGTACGAAACATTTTTAAAAATAATAGTTTGCAAGATCACAGTTAAATTGCGGACGTTTTTCGTTGAAATATAGCTACAAAAAGTCGACAGAACTAGTGCGAGCATTTTTTAAGATGAGAGGCATTCGGGTTTAGGTGATTTCAGGGTATAACAATTATTGACAATACTGGGGTTCAATATTTTTTTCATTTTTTCACAGTGGATGGAAAATGAAAAGTAAACAAGATTGAAGAAGATTTGATGTCATATGTTTAGTACAATTGATGTGTAGTTTTTGAAGCATGCTGTAATCTTTCGTTTGTTATGGGGAAACATATGTTCTAATCTTCAATCAATTTACAAATAAATGATGGATCATGAATCATCAAGATTCGTTATCTTTTTGCATACGTTTCTGAGCATGAGTGGTTTTCGAAGTAATCGCTTCGAAAATTTTTTTTCAGAAGAAAAAATTGAATTTATACACTCCTTTTGGGTACAACAAACAACCCATGTTATTTTCTCAGATTGTGCTTTGGCTGTGTCCAAAGTGACAAAAATTTCCAAGGCCTAGTTCATACGTCGTATTTTCGTCGGTCGCATCGAATGCATTCAAACAATAGTCATGCATCATTTACCTTCATTATCAAATCACTATCTATTGTTTGAATATCTCCAGATGCGACTAAAATATGTAAACAAATATGGCGATTAGTTTAAAACCAAATTCCTTCTTGTTGCTTAAACCTAAATCAGCTCCATTGTGCCGGTTTACATATCCAGAAATGCACGAACTGGTAATGCATGAACTCGCGGTGTGCATGTTCAACTTGCGACGTGTTCTGCAGGGCCGTAGCTAGAAGCTTAATTGGGGGGGTGTATATTCATATATTCGTCTTATGCCCGACTGATTTCTTTTGTACGCTATTGTTCTAACGGTATTTAAACATGAATATATGAATTTACACCCCCCCAATTAAGCGGTCTAGCTACGGCCCTGGTGTTCTGTCTCGCAGGTTGAGTTCCACAATTTTTGCAATTGTTCTAATTTATGGAAATATTTGTACGTTTTGTATATTTGCATAATTCCAATTCTGTATATTGAAACGATTGGCCAATCAAACCCAGAATAATAAAACATATTTGAATACAAAAATTTGATTATCTGAGGTTTAAACAGTCGAAGTGAACGGTACTACAAGTACAAACCATGTTTCTATTAAATATGTTCACTCAACTAACAATTTTGTCATCCCGATACGAAATATCTAAAATAGGAGGACATTGCTTTCTCGAGCTAATGGTTATATGATGTAGACAAGGTATAAACTTATTATTTGAACACAATTCACAATACGTATTGATCAGTACATATTTGTCAGTTCTCAAAGCCCGTTTACGCTTGCAATTTTTACTGCATTTTTCTTCACCGTATATGCGAAGGAACAAATAGTAAGGAATATTATGATTAATATATGCATTAACACCGGTTTACCGTATGTCCGTATCATAACAAGAACAAGGTCGATAACTATTTTGAACTTGAAATGACATCTATATCCTCTGAGCAGTGCATGCTCTACCATATAGTATATCTTTTCCACCCGTTTATATCCATCAAAAAGTGAAAATCTTAACTCAAATTTGGTAAAAATTTGCAATTGCTAACGGTTCTCTATATAATATGCTTGAATTGCTTGTAGTCTTTCGTGATATGACATGTAAATTATGATTGTGTGGAATGCAAAGGTAGTGACTGTGCTTTTGAAGTATTGGTACTCTATATGCATGCTATTAAATATATTAGTAGAACTATATTCTTTTAATATTTCAATTCGTTTATAATTATATATTGTGATCATTCGAAATGTGGCTGTTTTGGATCGGACATGCGTGGTTCATTGATACTTTTGATGACCTGTTCACAACTACTGATCTGATAATGCACTGGATAATAGTAGCTATACCAATCTTCTGGTTTTTGTCTTCTGAAGGTATTCTGCGTTTGTTTAGTATACTTGTGTCGTATAAGATCAGTTCAAAACCAAAACCCAGTTAAACTATCCCTGGGTAAGCTAAGCCATACGTCATAAAGATCCTCTCTGGTTCACAGGAGCACAAAATATTGGAAGGTGTTCCGTAATTGATCTTGAAAACGTCACAGGAGCCCCACGGAGTTATTTTAAATTATCACAAAAATCTGACAAATTTCACACTATCAACATGATCCATGCTGAAATTCGTTGCTTTAGGAGACCTTTAACCTAAGTGTTCGTGGTGTAGTTAATTTAATTATAATTTAACTCTACATTGACTACAACAATGATGTAATGCATAATAATCCGTCAACATTTCACACTATCAACATGATACTGAAATTCGTTGCTATGTAGAAGATCTTTAATCTCAGTGTTCGTGGTGTAGCGTACAAGTAACTTTAAATACGTTTACTCTACAGCAATGATGTAATGCATATGCTCCTTCACAACAATGACGTAATGCATATGCTCCGTCAGTACTTTTAGATGTTTTCTTTATAACAAGGAATATTTAATATATATATATATATATATATATATATATATATATATATATTATATATATATATAATATATATATATATATATATATATATATATATGTCGTCATAGGAACTGGAGAACATGTGTGTCGTCATAGGAACTGGAGACCATGTGCTCGCTCTGTTTTGACATTTCGTTGTTAAGTCAAAGCATATGAGCCATCGCTGTTTTTAAATTACTCATTTTGCGGGTAACCTATTGAATCACATACGCTGTGAGCCTTGACGTTATAATGTTAACATTTTTGCTAATGATCGATCATCAACACATTCCGAACGCACATCACTAATCTCTAATTGCTGCTGAGTTACATTAGTACTGGGTGGCAAGATCTTGCCTATATGATCTCCATAAAGAGGAATTGTTTGTTGCTTTGACTTGCAATCCATTTCAGACATTGTTAGTGTGATTCTTGCTGTAAACAGAATATTGATATTATAAATAAGCAAACTACAGGCTTTTACACAGAATATTAATGAGGAAAAAATCAAAAATATTTTGAAGGAGCATGCATATTTCATTTGCACTTCCTTTCAAAGCAAAACAAAAATTGCCTACCGCGCGTAACATTGTTGTTCACAGAACATTAAACACAACGGTAAACGGTATCCTCAAATTAAAATCTTTACGATAGACCATATTGGAAAGAGCTTCTCACATATTGTTCTTTTGAAAGCAAAGTAACCGCGATTAGTGAGTCATCTTGATATATATTTATTGTTGAAAAGGAAACATCTTAAAAATATATTGAAGGGGCAGTCCCATATACTTACCAGACACACAAGTGATTCATTTCCCGTCTCTGACATTATTGTCTGCAAAGTGTGTGAACCATGTGAAGGTCAGCGCACGCAAACGTTACTATATAAAGTAGCTTGCCTTCGTAATCTTGTTCATAACACCCTCATCTGGCTGTTGAATTCAGACAAGCAAGAATATATATTTCAGGTACGATTTTTTTCTCCATAGACTAATATTTTTTTCTTCATAGATATTTAAATATATTAAATATATTTACCTTTTCGTTATTTTCCTCACATAAGTTATTTTTATTTTATTGGTGTTTACTTCAAGATTGCATGTATAAATAGCTAAACTTTTCTTCCACTGTTTAGGAAAGAGAAAGTATCAAAAGCTTTTGTTTCCGTTTTTGATTGAATTTGTGGACAAAATATGAAAGCAGGTAGCTATAGCTATATACACGTATAATATCATAGCTATAACATCTAGATTGTATATGCATGGTTTACATTTTTCTATTATTGATATGAAGCGACGGATTATTTTCTCTCGTTTTTTACTTTCATTTAAACGCCTGATATCTACAACTATATATATAGTTCTTAAAGTGATAGATTGTGATGATTTTTATAGATTTGTGTGTCTTCGTTGTGGTAAGCACAGTTTTCTTTCTGTCAAGCTGTGTCCACGCTCGAGAATGTAAGCAACTATATAAGTGTATATAATATTTCTTCTTTTAAAATTAACTCTACGTACATTTTGGGCCGCCTGAACAATGCGAAATCTCACTTCTGGCTGTATCGATTTTAACATTATTTTATTATCATAATTTGCCGTTCCTCCCACTAAAATCCCGTTTCTCCCATTATAATGTAGTATGTGGAACAGATGGCAACACATACGTCGATCTTCCTTTGATGATAAAAACTGCTAATGACTTCAATCAACATCTTTTGATTTTTTATTGGGGACCCTGCGGTGAGTATAAAACTTCTGCTAAGTTTAGAGGTCATAGAAATCTCGATGATAATCGCGAGTTTAAAAGTCAGTCGCAAGCAACGTAAACATGAACATTAAGCAAATAGCGATTGAATTCACAGTTCGAGTTAGGACTAAAAAAGAGCCAAAATAAGACAACAATTTTTCTTCAAAATTGCTGCAACAATCAAAGTGCACCTTTTTTTTTAAATATGCATGATATTCAGTTAGCTAATGTTTATTTCGCTGCTTTGACAAAACAAATTGAAGATTGCTCGTGTTTTAATAGTATTTCTGTTTTTATTAGACCAAAAGTGTGCACCTCTACAATTTTGCGGCATGGAATTCAATCCTCAATGTGGTACAGACGGGCAGACGTATCCTGATCCGTGTTTCTTTAAAATTGCTCAATGTGAAAGTGATGGGAGAATTAGACTGGCCCATCATGGAATGTGTTGACGTAAGTCTTGCATTTAATATATATATATATATATATATATATATATATATATACACATATATATATATATATATTGTTAGATACATACATGCCTAAATATCTAAATATCGATCACGTGATTTGTTGTATGCATGACTCGCGTGGGCCTTTTCGCGATAGTTGCGCGTCCAATATTTGAAGCCGCGCACACTAGTTATTGTCAATCAAAAATGTCTGCACCGTATTCTGATGATTTACGCTGGAGAATGATTTACTAAAGATTGCTTTATGACCGAAGTTATGATGAAACAGCATCACAGCTCTTTGATAGCTCAAGAACTGTTCTGCGAACGTTTCAGACGTTTTTAAACATGCACTGCATGGTGATGTGAAGCCTTGCCGTCCCGGTAGTCCAACGGGCAGAGTAATATTATTATCGCCACACGAGGAATATATTGTCATAGATTGCTTGCATCCGAACCAACTAGTTTTTGTTGATGAAACAGGCATTGTAAGTATAAAACAGCATTTTATTTTATTTTATTTAAAAGTCACAACAGAGGATGTCTCTTATTCAATATTCTTTAATTCGTGTTACTGTAAGACGAGCGAATAGTTCGGCAATATGGATATAGTGCTCGAGGAACGAGACCTGTTGTTAGCGATTACAGCTATTCACGATGGGAACCGCATTATTCTGCAATTATGGCAATCTCAAGTGAAGGAATTATTTGCATCCGCCTCATGAAAAATCCCGTAGAAAAAGTTTAATACACGCTCGTTTTCAGAGTTTCTAAACGAGCAGCTCCTACCCTCAATGAATCTATTTGACGGGGAAAACTCGCAGTCCGTTATCGTCATTGGTAAGCAAATTTTTGTAATTTATCAAATTTTAAATATCATTTGACAAATCCAAGGTCAGGACTATATGGTGGTGAAAAACGAACCAAGGCACCAGAGTTCTATAGCAAGATCGATATAAACATGCATCTTGAACGTGATGCGCTGGGTGGTTATCTGTTTAGATATGCCATTATCATAAACATGCATGTGCAAATTGGAATGGAAATTAGAATTGGAAATAGTATGTAAAATTTGGTAAATTATTACACAAATTTGCTTACCAATGACGATAACGGACTGCGAGTTTTCCCCGTCAAATGGATTCTTTCCGGGTCAAATGGATTCTTCACGCCTGACCAACCATGATTGAACCATGATTGAACTCAATCCTGTATTTGTCACCTGAAGATCGTCTGACTGTAAAAGGTCAGGCGTGAAACACCGTGTAGCGACGACAGTATTTTAAGATAAATTCAATAAATGACTCGCTCTACTTGTAATTAGTATCGAGCACTCTTTTATCCATTACAAACACTTACACTTGGATATATATATATATATATATAATATATATATATTAATATATATATATATATTATATAATATATATATATATATATATATATATATATATAGTGGATCTAGGAAAGGTTGTCCGAAAATATAGACATATATACAAATAGTTGTGACATGTGACCACATATTTGCATCACGTGTCATATCTAATTACGCATGCAAACGCTGCAAAATTGCTTCAAGGTTATTGCTTAGTTGGGATATTTTTGTTGTAAAATGCCTAAGCCGTATTCAGACGATATAAGATGGGGGATTGTGTGGCAAAATTTATTTTATAACAGGTCTTCAACCAGAGTTGCTGTCGATTTGTTTGTTTCGCCAAGGACAGTAGATCGCGTTTTCAACCTGTTTATTATACTGCATGGTAACGTTACGTCGCCCCATAACTCATAAGTTTGGCAGGCTTCTTTGTAGTACAACACTTTACCAGCATGAGGAACTGGCAACATGTGAAATAATTCTCAGACATCCAGAGCTATACCTTAGGGAAATCGCCGATCAATTAGAAAACGCTGACATTCGTTGATAAACGGGCTCTCAGATAAAATAAATGAAGTTATATTTTACTAATAGCCTGTTGTCACATTGTTTACGCTTTGCCAGCTATGGATTTAACGAAGCGTTCACAGCGTTTGCATGCGTAATTAAGTGCGACACGTGATGGAAATATGTGGTCACATGTCACAACTTTGTATATATGTATATATTTTCGGACAACCTTTCCTAGATCCACTATATATATATATATATATATATATATATAAATATATATATTATAATATATATATATATATATATATATATATATATATATATATATATATATATATAAATATATATTTATATATATATATATATAGTGCGAGCATTTTTAAGAGGAGAGGCATTCGGGTTTACGTTATTTCAGGGTATAAAAATTATTGACAATACTGGTGTTCAATATTTTTTTTCATTTATTTCACAGCATATGGAACTGAATGAAAAGTAAACAAGATTGGAGAAGTTTTGATGTCATATATGTTTAGTACAATTGATGTGTAGTTTGTGAAGCATACTGTAAACTTTTGTTTGGGGAAACATATGTTCTATTCTTCAATCAACTTACAAATAAATGGTTGATCATGAATCATCAAGATTCGTTATCTTTTTGCATACCTTTCTGAGCATGAGTGGTTTTCGAAGTAATGGCTTTGAAAAATTATATATATGTTATTTATTATAATTATGTTATTTTATAATATATATATATATTATATATATATATAATATAATATATATATATTATATATATATATAATATTTATATATATATAATATTATATATATATACAATTAAGTAAAGTATCCAAGAAGAAAGAGTGCTCGATATCAAAATTTAATAGAGCGATTAAAATAAAATCAAATATTACAAAATTTTGAATATATTGTTCGCTACACTCTGTGTTTCACGTTTCTTCTGAAACGATCATCAGGCGAATCTCAGTTCGCCTGATGATCATCAGTTCGCCTGATGATCGTTTCAGAAGAAACGTGAAACACAGAGTGTAGCGAACAATATATTCAAAATTTTGTAATATTTGATTTTATTATATATATATATATATATATAACATTTAGAGTACAGGCGTGTTGCCTAATTGTTTTAGTATACACCGCCCTGTACCTATAGATATTAATTTCGGGAAAATAATCGATAGTCCACAATTACACCGAAAAATAATTTAATTAATTCAATTTTATACGGTCGCGCGAACGAATTTTTCCCAAACGTTCACCATCACGAATAGACAATGGTTGAGTAGCCAACCACAATGTTAGATTTGTAATAGACAATAGTCGGGTGTATACTAAAACTGTATAGAAACACGGGAATTTTCCCGCCAAACTTGACAACGGAATTAATGTAATTCGATTGAATTGATTATTTCTCGTTCTCTCAAACTTCCACGCATGTCTCTATAAATGTATAGAAACAAAAAAAATGTTTTCTATTTCTTAAATATAGCACAATGATGGATAACGCGGTTGGAATGACGTTTACTATAGCACAATTATCGATAACGCGGTTGGAATGACGTTTACTATAGCACAATGATCGATAACGCGGTTGGAATGACGTTTACTATAGCACAATGATCGATAATGCGGTTGGAATGACGTTTACTATAGAACAATGATCGATAACGCGGTTGGAATGACGTTTACTATAGCACAATGATCGATAACGCGGTTGGAATGACGTTTACAACAATAGGATGTGCAAATGAAATATGCTCGCTAATTCTTCAATATATTTTTAGACATGCAACCAGGTATATAACCCATCGCGATTATCACTAATCTGGTTTAATTAATGAAAGTAATCACAACACATTCATGACCCAACGTTCGACACTCCGGTCTAGTGTCTTCATCAAGGTTGATCTGATGTTGAAACGAAGGATATATTATCAACATGACGTCATCTATCAATCAGATGTAAATATTCTTTTGGCAAATAGCTTCCGTCATCCCTATTCAGAGCACAATTACTCGCATTAACATGCCAAGCTTCAAACAACGCGTTTGTCCATAACGATCATTAGTGGCGATGACTTTAGAGTCGTTCCACGCAATATATGGCTTGTTTGACACATGCACGTGTTCTGCCAAGGCTGATTTTGAACTGTCTAAGTTTGAAACGGCCTTTTGGTGTTCTTTTAAACGTGTGCGGAACTGGGGCCGGTTGTATCAAGTCCGTTTAGCTTAAACGGTGGTTAAGTTCAAAATAGAAAGCAAGTCTATCATTTTATTCAACAAGCAAACTAAATGTTTTTAACCTTAATACAAAGATACTGTTTACAACTACATATTTAGTGCACAATATTCAAGTTGACTCATTCAAGAGAAATGTAAGAGTGTTATTTAATTTTGACTTATCCACTGTTTAAGCTAAACAGGCTTGATACAACAGGCTTGATACAACCGCCCCTGGCGTCTTGTTTCCCTTAGATATTCTTTTTCGCAATCACCACATGGTATAGAGTATACATCAGGACATGAGTTTTCTGTTTAGTTGCTACGCGATACTTAGGTTTGGCGAAAGGTCTGGAAGGGTTTAAAGGCAACTTTATAATAGTTATTCATGATCCTCCTGATTGGTTCTCCAATTCCCTGAATGTATGGAACTATAGCAAAACCCGTTTTTGGGGAATCACCCTCAGAGGAATTACATTTTCGGATAGCAAAGAATCATTCAAGTTTCGCTTCGTTCTGTTTCAGCTGATATATTGATTATTTATCTTCGCTTCAATGCAATACATGATTACCTAGCCCTTCGGAAGGTCGGAAGTGGTGTTTTGAGCTCTTGAAAAACTCACTCGTGCATGTTATATCCAAATAGCATTCAAAACCATGCTATTACCTATACAAATCAATACAACCGTACAAACTGAAACATCGTAATAGAAATATTTGTTTCCATATGCTTTGAAAGGATGTGGAAATGAAATATACATGCTCCTTCAAAATATTTTTAGTTTTCCTTGCAAATTAACAAATATGTATCAAGATGTGTGACTAAGTTCGGTTCTGCATGTGACGTTTTTATGACAGGAATCGCGATGACAGTCTCGCAGTTTCCCTCGTAAAAAGTAATTTGGGGATAGTTGGGGATTCATCAACGTTATCTACCAATGCCTACATGCAGGACCGTAGCTTAATTTTGGGGTGCATATTCATATATTCGTCTTATACCCGACTGATTTCTTTTGTATGCTATATATAGCATACGGTATATAAACATGAGTATATGAATATACACCTCCGAATCAACCGGTCTAGCCACGGCCCTGCCTATAAATGTTACACGCTATGCAATCTTTCTTTCAACAACTTTGGACATTGTAAACTTGTTCCCACAATCTTGTCTTTACCTTCAAGGCCATACACGATGTAAAAAGGATGTGAAAATAAAATACATTCCTCAACATATTTTTATATTTTAATTATACTGCCTTCTGGCAATGAATATACATAAACATAATTTGACTAAGTGCAGTTACAGTTATAAGAGCAATAAGTGACAATCTCTTCCTAGTATTATATATAGAATCCTCTCATAAAGAGTATTTTGGGCATATTACTTCACCAGCGTTATACATGCATTTTAATTTTTCTTCACTTTGTTAATGCTGCAGATATCTTGTTTTTCATTAAGGTACGTACTTGGGATTTGTTTTGAAGACGTCTTTCGTTTAATAAATAATGTTTTTTTCCCGGATGAATCATACCAAAGCCCTCAAGACGACAACATTTTGGCACCGAAATTTAGTAAACACTTTTTAGCTCTGCTTTTGTTTTCATCCCCCCTCCTAGATCAAATATTTTAGTTTATATAATTCAAATTGTCAATTGACGGGGTGAACATTTTCCCCTGCGTAATTTGTGGTTTGCTGTTTTTAGACACACAAGTGATCCATTTCCCATCTTTGACATCATCACCTTTGACATCATCGAAGGCAAAGTGCGTCAACCGTGTGAAGGTCAATATCAAACTGTCCGGGTCGACAGCGCACGAAAACGATAGTATTTAAGGAGCTTGCCTTCGTTATTTTGTTCATAACACTCTCATCTAGCTGTTGAATTCAGACAAGCAAGAATATACATTTCAGGTATACGATATTTTTTTCTTCATAGACTCGATCATAAATACATTTACCTTTTTCATTTATTTATCTCCTGATATTAAATATTTTTATTTTATTGGTGTTCACCTAAAGATTGCATGTGAATGGCTATACGCTTTTTCCACTTTTTAGGAAAGAGAAAGTATTGTTTCCGTGGACAAAATATGAAAGCAGGTATATATACGTAATATCATTTAACATCTAGATTGTATATGGTTTTCATTTTTCTATTTCTGATATGAATCGACGCATTATTTTGTCTCGTTAAATCTTTTATCAATTCCAAATTAAGCTTTGACGATGCAATATGCTTTGTCAACATATATCCTGGCTTGATATTCATTGTCATGATTTTTATAGATTTGTGTGTCTTCGTTGTTCTAAGCACAGTTTACTTGCTGTCAAGTTGTGTCCACGCTGGAAAAAGTAAGCGAATATAAGTCTGATAATCCTTTAGTTAACACTTAATACTTAACTCAACGTACTCCCGAACAATGCGAAATCTGACTTCTGTATCGCTGCATACCACAGAAATGTTTTGCCATGCATCAGCAGGCAGTTGACTTGAGGTTTGTAAAGCGAGTGATACCAGAAAGCTTGAACGAATCCAGTAGAGAGGACTGAGAGCAGTTTTTAGGGACAAACAATCGGCCTACGAGGAATTATTACGGAGAGCCAATTTACCTACGTTGCTTAATAGACGACTTCAGGACATTGCTATTTTAATGTTCAAAGTTAAGCATGGACTCTGCCCTCAGGGTATTAGTAAACTTTTCAATTTTCAGAACTCACAATATAATTTAAGGTCAGCAGATTTCACCATACCTAGATTTAACACCATTACTTATGGTAAACATTGCATAAACTACTTGCATGGGACCTAAATTGTGGAACAAACTAAGTTCGGAAATTAGAAACCTAACATCACTCGAGCAATTTAAAAAGACTATACGCAGTTTTGACATGCAGTCGATACTAGATGAAAATAATTGCACCAATTGCATAATTTTTTACACATGAAATATGTGTAATAAGATAATATAAGATAGTACTACTTTTAATTTAAATTATTAGGTATAGGTATATCGCGTAGCAGATATATAGTTAAGTGTCCCCATCACAATTAGTAGAGGAAATTTTCCTCAGCTAGATGTATACTGACACAGAAATAAAGTCTTTATTATTATTATTACATAATAAAATTGAGACGATCTCTAGTCGATTATATTTAGTTATAACGAGCTTTCGGCTGCCAAGTCTGCAGTGACAGAAACGGAAGAAATTGATACGCCTACAGCTGCGATTTATAAGTACTATAGTTAAAATACGAGCGTAAAATAAAATACCCATACATGCAGATCGGCCGCGAAACCTCACTTCTGTTTCGACGCATCACTAGAAAGGGTTCAGCAGTGGAGGCTTTTTCGAGTGTGCTATTCTTAAGGCTATAGGAAGGTGCATGCATGCATTGCGCTGCATGTCTGAAGCATACTCATTGCATGCATTAAGAAATGCACGCAATCCTGTGAAATGAGATTCCCTGTGGTAAAAAGGCAAAGTACAAACTGTCTCTGCTGCCATCTTCTTTGAACCATCTTGATTCTTGAGAGATTTGTCTCATGTAAACTAACTTCAGCTGAGCAAATTGCCGTGCATGTCTATATATGATGTGTATACAAATAATGTTTGTATGGATTCATCTGAATCTTTGCATATCTTTGTGACACTTCTTTTAATATTTTATTTATCAGGATTTCCCGTTCATCCTATTGATATACGGTGGCGTGAACTATGTGGATCAGATGGCAACACATACGTCAGTTTTCCCTTGATGAAAAAGACTGCTCGTAACTTCAATCAACAGATTAGGATTGCTGGTTGGGGACCTTGCGGTGAGTATAAAACTTCTACTAAGTTTAGAGCTCATAGAAATCTCGGTGATAATCGCGAGTTTAAAACATGAACATTATAAGAAAATACCGGTTGAATTCACAGTTCGAGCTTGCGATTTCAAAAGAGCAAAAATGCTGTTCGCAAAAGACAGCGATTTTTCTTCAAAATCAAGGTGCACCGCTTTTTGTTTTTTATGAATTCATTTGGATAAATATAACATTTAGCAAATCTTTATTTCGCTGCTTTGACACATAAATTGCATGAAGATTGCCCGTGTTTTAATAGTTTTTCTGTTTTTATCAGATCCAAAGTGTGCACAAGTTTGCACATATGAATACAATCCTCAATGTGGTACAAACGGCCAGACGTACCCTAATCCGTGTTCCTTTAAAATTGCTCAATGTGAAAGTGATGGGAGAATTAGACTGGCCTATCATGGAATGTGTCGACGTAAGTCTTGCATTCTTCTTTCATTATAGAAATTTCGTTATAGAAACAATACAAGACAATTTTGTAGAGCATTTAATTTATATGTTGCCTGATGATTGCTTGTTGCATGAAAGTTGAAGTAGCAATTATTTATTCATTTTAAAATATTGTAATGAAAACATTAAATTATATATATATATATATATATATATATATATATATATATATATATATATATATATATATATATATATATATATATATATATATATATATACACCCATTTGCAAAAACGTTGGCCGCAGATAGATAGATAGATAGATACTCGAAGTCTAATTAGAATTGCATATGATTACATTTGCATGGGATTTCAATCATATTACACAACATATGCAATTCTAATAAGATTTCGAGTATCTATATATCTATCTGCGGCCAACGTTTTTGCAAATGGGTGTATATATACATATATATATATATATATATATATATATATATATAATATATATATATATATATATATATATATATATATATATATATATATATATATATATATATATATATATATATATATATATATATACACACACGAAGCAAAATATTTCCTGTTTTATTTATATTTAATATTTCATTTCTCAGAATATCCCATTCATTTTGAAATACGGTGGCGTGAAATATGTGGATCAGATGGCAACACATACGTCAGTTTTCCCTTGATGAAAAAGACTGCTCGTGACTTTAATCGACCGATTAGGATTGCTGGTTGGGGAACTTGCGGTAAGTATAAAACTTCTACTAAGTTTAGAGGTCATAGAAATCTCTGTGGTAATCGCGCGTTTAAAATTCAGTGGCAAGTAAAAGAAAATAAATAAGCAAATGGCGATTGAATTCAAGTCGTGCTTGGAATTTAAAAGTGCTGTTGATAAATATATATATATATATATATATATATATATATATATATATATATATATATATATATATATATATATATAATATATTATATATATATATATATATATATATATATATATATATATATTTAAATATATATTTAAATTGCTGTATATGTCAATTAAAGTGCATCGTAATATTCAGTGGCGTAGGAACCGGTGGAGCACAGGGGGTACGTCCCTCCCAAAATTTTTCAAGGGACCAAAAGTGCCCTTTTTGTTTTCTACGTATGCCCACTTATGCGTGCCCAAATCTTTTTGTAGAGCATAAATACACACCACACTAGTGGTATCCTTGCAACTTTGGCAATCAAACCGGTCCTATACATACTTTTAGCTCCCCATTTTACAGCTGCCCATCCCCAATCTCTGAATGTTTCCTAGGCCCCTGGTAATAATTGCAGTAATAATTTAATTTGCAGCAATATATCGATTATTACTACATTCTGACGGAACCTCTCCGTGTGTATAATGTCAAACTTGAATTCTACTGAAACATAGACTTGCATGTCTCTGCTGCAGATCCTAAATGTCAGCAATATTGCACCTATGAATTAAATGAACAATGCGGCACAGACGGCAAGACATACGCTAACCCGTGCATGTTCAAAATTGCTCAATGTGAGAGTGACGGAGCAGTGAGACTGGCTTATCATGGAGAGTGCAAATGGTAAGTGATGGTTTAATATGGTTGTATGTAACATTTTTTCAGTTTATGTACATGTCTCCCAAATATATATTGTGAAAACTAACAGCAAGAATGACACCGTGTATGCATGAATCTACAAGTCTCATCAGCAATTCCCATCAGCTATAACAAAGAATATAATATCTAACCACATGTGAGCTGTTACGCGATATGATTGGCTGAACTACTACAAGGGTATACCAGCTCATATACGTGAAAACAGCCTGTAATGCGCTGATAATTTGTTGGGATATTCAAATATCGCATTCATCCTATATTTTGTTTAAATGATTCTCTGTGCATGACAATTTTCAGTATATAGTAAATTGACTTCCACTTTATTTCCACTTTAAGTAGAAGCCATTTCCCAATTGAGCAAGGTACTGGGTCTAATCGCGAACTGTACAGCATCTATGGACTGTTTGGAGGTACAGGAAATGCGGTTCGCGCTTAGACCCTAAATTTGCAATACTTCATGTAAAATGGTAAATAATGTACTACTTCAGGTTAAGTAGTCAACATTTATGCATTTTGATTGGCTTATACTGAAAATGTAAACAAACTCGCTGATTGGTCTAAAACGAAATTCCCCTTGTTACATACGCAATATCCTATCAGTAACTGGCAAAGTAAAGGGACATTTCTCAATCATACTAACAATTTTTTTTGCTTAATTACTTATTAGAAATAAAGTACTTGGGAATGAGAAGTAAACAAGATTGAAGAAGATTTGATGTCATATGTTTAGTACAATTGATGTGTAGTTTTTGAAGCATTGTGTAATCTTTCGTTTGTTATGGGGAAACATATGTTCTATTCTTCAATCAATTTACAAATAAATGTTTAATCATGAATCGTCAAGATTTGTTATCTTTTTACATACGCTTTTCGAAGTTCTGGCTTCAAATTCTTTTTCATAAGCAAAAATGAAATATATATACTTTGGGTACATCACAAAACCCACGGTTTTCAACTTAGGACCTCTTTAAATAGGATAATTATTTTCTCACATTATGCTTTGGCTGTGTCCAAAGTGACAAAACTATACAAGGCCTAGTTCATATATACGTCGCATTTTCGTCGCGTCGAATGCATTGAAACAATAGTCATGCATCATTTACCACCATTATCATTTCACTATCTATTGTTTGAATATCACCAGACGCGACTAAGATACCAAAACTAAACCTTGAATTTTCCCTGCAAACTAGGAATACGTGTAGATTACAATTGTCATGAGTGACAAGGTTTTAGTTAATGAACTTATATTCAAATGATACTGCTTAGACCTAAATCAGTTCCATTGTGCCGGTTTACACATCCAGGAATGCACGAACTGGGAATGCATGAACTCGCAGTGTGCATGTTCAACTTGGGACGTGTTTTGTCTCGTAGGTTGGCCATGGGTTCAACAATTTTTGCAATTGTTCTCATTTATGGAGATATTTGTACGTTTTGTATATTTGCATAATTCCAATTCTGTATATTGAAACGATTGGCCAATCAAACCCGGAATAATAAAACATATTTGAATACGAAAATTTGATTATCTGAGTTAAACAGAAGTGAACGGTCCTACAAGTACAAACCATGTTTCTATCAAATATGTTCACTCAACTACAAATTCTGTCATTCCGATACGAAATATCTAAAATAGGAGGACATTGCTTTTCTCGAGCCAATGGATATATGATGTGGACAAGGTATAAACTTATTATTTGAATACAATTCACAATACGTATTGATCAGTACATATTTGTCAATTCTCAAAGCCCTTTTACGCTTGCAATTTTTACTGCATTTTTCTTCCTCATTGATGCGAAGGAAGAAATAGTAAGGAATATTAAGATTAATATATGCATGTAAGCCGGTGTGGCGTTAAATAACAAGAACAAGGTCGATAACTCGACCGCCATTTTTGAATTCATTCAGATTTCATATCCAAGTTTTCAGAGAAAAAAGCACGTCCCCCCCGTGCCAATATACCATCGACAAGCGTGATGACATAATAGACGGGGGGGGATATTTACGGAAAGTGGCTAGCTAATAGTCTGAACTTGAAATGACGCCGGTCTATATGCTCTATATGCCATACCACATCGACTATAGTATGTCTTCTTTACTTGCTCATATCCATCAAAAAGTCTTAACAAAAATCTTAACTCAAATTGTGGTAAAAATTGCAATTGCTAGATTCTCTAGATGTAATATGTTTGTAGTCCGTCGTGATATGACGTGACCATTAAATATACTAGTTGAAGTATATTCTTTTAATATTTCAATTCGTTTATAATTATATATTAACAAGCATTTGGCCATTAAAAGAGCGTGGTTACAATATCTAAATATTTGACATTCATAACCAAAGCATGGTTACATTGTTTAATGTTTGTATATGGGCAGAAAAAAATGCTTGCAACTTCACATAGGACCAGAATTGGACCATTTAACCAGCATGGTTATATAAATAACACTAGAGGAGGCATTGGTATCGAAGACATCAGTCGAAAAAGGGAGCGCGATATTGGGGGCAAATTCAAATCCCGGATGCTAAGCCAAGCGCCTATTGGCTACATCAATACCTCTCCTTAGCAACCACGTAAGCAACAACTAAAATTTGTATTTAAAAAATTATATTCTTTTTTTAGGTCGCTTTGCTGGAAAATCAGCGCTTTTTGGAACTGGTTTTACATTTTACTACCTTAGACATCCTGAAATGAGATTTTAGGAAAAATACCATTTAGAAATTAAAAAACTCGTTTAAAACGACATATTTTGGCCTCGGACATCGTGAATGAGTGAACATCCGGGACTTGGATTTGCCCCCCCCCCCATTAACGCGCTCCCCAATTTCTCCCCGATGACCCCTCTAGTGTTATTTATAATCTCTATGCTTCCACCGCGACCACCATTTCTGGAGGCGTATATTAAACTACAGTATTAAAATCGGTAAAGAAACACGGAATGCAGAAAAGATTGCAGCACAATTCCACAAACTTACAAATTTGTATTTTATTTTCAAAGTTTCCAAAAGTTTCCGAGTTTGCGGCAATTAGGCATTAGTATTGCTATTAAAGCGCCTGGGTACGAGGCTGTTCACTTGCCTTAACTTCACTTCACTTCACTTGCCGAGGCTGTTCACTTGCCATAAAATATGGAAATTTCCATCAAAGTGGAAAACCTGTTTACTATACCGTAATAACCCGAGGTCGATCGACCAATCAGAAGCCATAATTAACATGACGTCCTTCGGATCATTACAATCATTACAGTTTAGCGCAACTCTGTCAATTGTCAAAATGAAAACAGAATTTATTTAATAGAAGTTGTCTAGGTTCTCCCATAGATTTATGATTATTTATCCAGTAAAGTAATTCCATGGCTAAAATCTTTTACAATTATGTACAAATATAGAGGTATGTCAGCTGGTAGGAACATGTCCATCTGTGTTGAGAGTGATTTTATCTGTGTTGAGAGTGGTTATATACTTAAAAACCGAGAGGAATACAGCCATAATAATAGGTGCATAATTTGATCTGTTTCGACCGAAATTGTCCTGGCGCCGGTTGTATAAAACTCTTTAACTATAATTTTGCATAGTTAAATCCTAGTTAACTCAGTAATACACGACTCTCATTGGCCAATTCTGTTTTTAACTGCAGTTAAAAGTTAACTAGTCTTTTATATATAAACTGGCCCCTGGAAAGTAAAATTGTTTGCTGTTAGAAAGAGTCGCAACCGAGCAATTTCAGCTTAACTAAGTAAGAAACAGAAAGCAAACAATTCTTTACCCAGCATTCGCTTATTAGTAACTAGCTATAATTGCATAGCTATAACTGTCATTGTCAAATATTTCTTGTGTTATTTTATTTCAGGTGGGGGAAATAGGGGTGGAAGGGGGCCAGGAAGAGGCAGAGGGAGGGGAAGAGGTAGTGCTCCTCCTGGATCATCTGGCCCACAAATTGGACAGTGGTTTGCAGAAAAAACTAAAATTGAGAAAGAGCATCAACAGGTATAATGACTCTCAACTAGGATAGCATAAGTGTAAAACTAATGAGCATCATCTGTATTAGTTTCTTAGGCCAAAATTCAATGTTTTGATCCCTATTTCACTTTAAATATGGCTTAAAATTTGGCTTAATTTGTAATTAGTCATAATTGTGATAATTAGTGATTAGTTCCAATTGCCAGTGCTAATATGTTTTATTATAATGGGGTAAATTAGTTAATGGGGTAAGTCAAAATATGAAATACCTATTGTGAAAGAATGGATATTGAGGTTAATATGGTAATATTTGTTTTACTTATTGTCATCTATTATAAGCTTGTTTATTTGTTGTTTCTAAACAGCAAGGTGTAAAGATCGAGTCAGCATCATCTTCAACCAGTCAATCAGGTAACGTAATATTATAAAGATCAGTTGTATCTGGAAGGATAATTGGGAAGGGGGGGGGGGGGGGGGGGGGGCTGTGTTTATTCATATATTCAGTTCTGCCTGACAGATTTCTTTTGTAAGTTCAATAGTTTACAATAGATATCTGTCTGGCAGAACTGAATATATCAATAAACACCCCCCAATGACTGTAACAAGGACTAGCTGTAATGATTTTTAGATTGCAGCCATTGTTCTAAGTAAAACAGCTGTTTCAGGCTCCAAGTACTAGCTTGCTATCTAGGGTTGGTTGTGTAATTGTGCGTATTTATGGTGTTAAAGGGGACATCAGATGTGGTGTTAGTAGAAGTGGATGGAAACGAGGAGGCCATAGAAGGAGGTGGCACAGCTCTGCGGGAGGTGGTGGTCATCCCCCTGGATTACGTGGCAGGGAGATTGGATTGTGGTATAGGGACAACCCGAGAAAAAAAGAGGAACAGGTAATTTAACATGTTTCTTGGTATGACTATAGTTGCAATATTTTTAGGAAACTATTCCCCACTACAACTATATATGTATATTAATAATTAATTGATATTGAATTGGTATTTGTAACACAAAGTTACTATAATCTATGACCTAAAGTTGAGAGTGGAAGAACTGGTTTTGGTCATGGAACGTGAAAGCATCTAAAGCACAAGATGAGAATTAATTACTCGGGCCTAGGTAGAGCGAGTTGAAAAACAGGCTCGGTTTTTCCTTTTGCGCCGCGAGTTTACGAAAATCACGCGTGGGCGGCACGAAGTCTTCGAACGAAGTTTTTTTGAAGGTTTTTATTCAAAGATTACCCACCGAGCCTGAGGTTCTAATTAATGGTTTTTTAAAAAAACTAATCTGTTGTAGAAAATGCACGTTTTACAAACCTAAACAAATATCAGGCAACGTTTAACAGTGATTCAAATCAAACAAATAAAACAATGTTTTCGCAAAATAAAGTTGAAAAGCGTTCTACAAAGTAGTTTTTACCTTAAAATAATTGTTGGCCTAATTTTCTCGCTTCTTTTGTGCTTTCAGGTACAGTATTTTTGTTAAAATAACGTCTTTCTTCTGTCACTTTGACTGAAAAACAACCCGCCGCCATTTTGAAAAATCCGCTCAGCCTCAGGTGTTTGTCGCGTATTATTCCGAGATCGATCGACCAATCAGAGCATATCAGATACCAGAATTTTCAATTATTAACAATTATTCGAGGTGAATATCGCTGATTAGTATAATTTCAGTATTGAAAAATGCAGAATGCAGGCTTTCGAGCATTTTGATTGGTTCCCTCACCAGTAACTATGAGGCAATAGTCGCTGCTCAGATGGCTCTCAGCAGCAACTGTAGCGTTTTAAAAGAATATTGCTGAAAATTCTTAGGAATTTCTCTGCCATTCGTCTGAAAACAAAGGCGGCAACAAATTATGGTGTGAAATTATTTAAAAGTTACGTTTATTTAACGATTTATTTTGCAATTTATGATCGCACGATTTGACGCACGATTTTTTATAAAATGCGGTACACTTAGAACTATTTTTAAGCGATTTGACCACGTTTTCTGTTGTTTTTGCAGCCGTTTAATTTTCAGGTTTTGTGACTCAGGTCATCATAAAATAAACTCCGTTTATTTGTAGTTTTATACATGTTTTACAAACGTAAACAAATTATCCGGACAGTTTTACGGCGATTTAAATAAAACAATGTTTTCGCAACATAAAGTTGAAAAGCGGTTTTGCAAACCTTACCTTGAGAATAATTTTAGGCCAAATTTTTTCACTTTTTTGTGCTTTCATCAGAAATTAGATGCAAATTATTTATTGCTTTTAGCGCGCGGATGTTTTGATGACCGAGACGCGTGAGAAAAGTTTAACTAAAATGCTGGAGAGTTGGAAAGATGCACCATCGTCCCGGGATCAAGCTAGTAAGGACTGTATCAATTTATCAGACAGCTTATACAAACGTCTCTGGCATAGCAAGCAAGGGGTTAACTTACCCGTCTGTATGTTTTTTAAGAATGTTTTCATGTGTCGTAATTTATCGGCGATGTCTATTGTCGTTAGTCATTGATGCATGCGTAAAATGCTTCGTCCATGCTTTTATCGTCCTACGTCCTTAATCTTTGACAATGGATCGTAGAGCATCGCCGGTGAAAACCACGATTTATCAACGACTGTTTATTTGCATGAAGTACATTGGATCAGTGATAAAGGCTTGATAATTTTGATGTTTGAATCATCTTATTAATGCACTCAAACTTCACTTATCGGTGATCACACCTCAATTTTCCAAACGCTTAATGTAAGAATAAACTCAGCTTACCAGGTTGATAACTCAGATAATACAATACAGACTAATTGCTGGTATTTCACAGTGTTTCAAATGTTTACTCTGCATTTAAGTGTGTCGTTATTTTAAATCTGCCTATATAAATCTGCCCAAACTATATTTTTAACGAAATACTCTATTTCAATTCAAAATATTACTGGTTTGACTATTTTGGCCGCCTGAAGAAAATCGCTCATAGACACAATCATAGTAAATATTTTCATTAATTATTTGTTCAGGCGGATCAAGCATGGAAAATTACAGCGACAATTTTTACCTTCCTGAACCTCTGGTGGAGGATGACGAACTCCTGAATGAAGAGTTGATAAAGGATCTTAAAAGAAAGAAATCTAGCAAAACGTACAAGCAGATGGCAGTAAGAAACCTCTTTTTCCATGTCATATATGATATCAAACCAACCTTAAAGTGGAAGTCAAGTTCGTTTTGCGCAACGATCGGATAAGGGGGGATTTCGTTTCAGACCAATCAGCAAGTTTGTTTACATTTTCAGTAACCCAATCAAAATGCATAAATTTGATTACTTCCGGCAAAAAGGTACATTATTTACCATTTTACATGAAGTATTGAAAATTTAGGCATTCTGTTGGCTTTGCCTAAAAAATGTAAACAATTATCCCAATCAGTTTAAAACGAAATCCGGCTTGTTATAATACAAGGGCTATCTGATGTAAAAATTGCCTAAATTTCGCATGTTTCGAATTTTTCTGAATATGATTCATAAACTCTTTTAAATTCATTTTGTAACGTGGCAAATCTAAATAGTGTTAGATATTTTGACATCACATCGTATTTTAAAGAGATTTAAAATGTAAACAAACCGTTCGTTTATATAGTAAAACGGACTTGACTTCACCTCAGACTTCACTTTCAACTCAATAGTTATGAAGATTAATGACCAAAAAATTGTTTTTAAAAGAATTCATCGCGACGTTTATCGTGAAATCAAATTGTGTAATCGCGCGTCCAAGCAGATACAACTCTTCATAGAGTAAAACTTCTAATCGAAAATTTTTCTTCCCTGTGTAGGTGTTCAGAGAAAATTTGCCTTCCTACAAAATGAAAGATGTAAGTAGTTAGCTTCAAAACCTTCAGCTTCGAGACTTTAAATTGTTCAGTTACTTTAGCTGACAAAGAAAATAAATAAAGATAAACCTTTTTCTGGATTCCAAACAAATGACTTCACTGTGATTTCAGAAAATTGTCGACTTGATAAACTCAAACCAAGTGGTAGTCATCAGTGGGGAAACCGGATGTGGGAAAACGACGCAAGTTAGTTTCAAATAGTTTAACGTGTCGAAACTCTAGTGTATCTTCGCTTGAATCTCTAGTTACACTTCTGGGGCCAGGTGTATAAAACTCTTTAGTTACATTTTGTATAGTTAAATCCTAGTAACTCAGAAGTGCACAACTCTGATTGGCCAATTCTGTTCTTAACTACAGTTAAAAGTAGTCTTTTATACAACTGGCTCCTTGACATTTGGTACCAACAGGTTTGCTTTACACTTTGCTTATAAACATTGTTACACCTGAGATAACCTGAGGCAATTTTTTACACATGTGATAGACATTTGTCCGACCTTCGTCTGTTGTGATTCAGTCGTCGATGTGTTTTAGAGCAGTTTGATTTTTTTTTCAGGTCGCACAGTTTATCTTGGACGATGCTATCATGAAAGGCAAAGGATCCACGTGTAGAATTATTTGCACACAACCCCGGCGAATTAGCGCCATATCTGTGAGTAGCACGTAGCATATATGAATGTGGCACACCTCAATTAACGTTCGATTGACGCCCATGCATATAGATAACTCTTTAGTATGTACAACTCTTTTACAGACGCCTGTTTAATAGAGACACATCTCTAATACAGACCCCTCTCTAATACAGGCACATTTTTAATACAGACACCTCTTTAATAAAGACACCACTCTAATGCAAAATCATCTCTTATATAGACGCCTCTCTAATACCGCAACCTTTCTGATACATGCATCAATCTAATACAAACACCTCTCTAATACAGACACCTCTCTAATACAGACACTTCTCTAATACAGGCATCTTTCTAATACATACACCTCTTTAATAAAGACACCACTCTAATACAAAAACATCTCTTTTATAGACACCTCTCTAATACAGAAACCACTCTGATACGCATCACTCTAAAACAAAAACTTCTTTAATACATACACTCTTCTCTAATACAGACACCTCTCTATACAGACAAACCTCTCATACTTGGCGTCTTCCTCTAATACAGACCTTTCTCCGTTCAATTACCGATGTTGTTTGTAGATAGCAGAAAGAGTGGCTGAGGAACGAGGAGAAACGGTTGGAGAACCTGGAAGCACCGGATACCAGATTCGACTGGACAGGTCACTACCAACCATATTTAGTTAGGCTTTCAAAATGTTATTAATCTTTGGATTATGTTTCATATTATACATCTCGCAGGAGGATAGGTTTTAGTCTAGTTTTAGGCATGCTTCTTTATAACTACTGATTAATAGATTTTTCCTTAAATACTTTCAGTGTGTTACCACGCGAGAGAGGCTCTATTCTGTTCTGCACCACGGGAGTCATATTAAGATGGTTGATGTCTGACTCGTAAGTGGTTAACCGTATAGTTTAATATTTTATCCAGCAAGCAACGTCCACCACTGGATTCAACATCTACAACCTGATCATGTGCAGCCTTCATGAGTTTAACTGAAATCATCAAATTGTAGAAACACCTCGTGAATTTGGAAAGAGCTTTCGGTCCCCGGGTAACCGGGGCTTTATCACTGCAATCTTATTAATAATTAATTAGCCTTTCTCACGATGACGAATATGCCGCCATTTTTGTCCGCGTAACGACGACTTTCTTTAATTTTAGGCTGAATTTATTTCTTCAAATGGTCTATTGATTCTAAAAAAATCGATTTTTATGTTATAATTTTTTTAACCCATTCGAGAAAATTGAGAGTACCCCCAAAACGTCATCGTTAGAAAGACTAATTGCACTCCTATTCCTTCTGTTACCGTTATTAATTCACCATGACTTGATGAGTTTGTTTTTTATTTTTGTTGTAGAGATTTATCACGAGCTAGTCATATTATTATCGATGAAATTCACGAACGCAGCACCCACTCGGATTTCCTGCTGATAGTTGTTCGGGATATTTTGCCCAGAAGGTATGCTGGGAGTGGATTAGCGGTGGCATGAGTGGATATACCGTGTTTTTATAGGACAATAGAGGGTAGCAACTGCTGCCAACCAGAGTGATGACTGATCATAAACATGCCAATATTTGCCTCAGGCCCAAATAGTTTTTCTGAGCTTTCGAGCTGAAGTACTTGACTCCAAACGAAGAGCTGTATACAGAAACTGAAGTTATATTGAAGATTGCTCGAAGTAGAAGATTAGCCTAGATGAAAGTGTTGTTTCATATGCAATGGTCTCTCCTATTCTTGCTTGACACTCCAGTGCAGCGAGCAACATGATCATCATTTTCTCTTGATTGTTTTCATCTAGACCTGAGCTAAAGGTTGTTCTCATGAGCGCCACATTAAACGCTGAAATGTTCTCGAAGTATTTCAGTAAGTGCTTTCTGAAAGATTGAGGTGTAGCGATGTTTCAAATACAGATAGCTATACTTTGATCCTTGGTGCATCTTACATCAAACTTTGAAACGTTTCCATTTCCATTGAAAACAGTTCCATTGTCGTGATTTCTTGTATGATGCCCCACGATCCAATCTCTTTCTTCAATGAAAACGAAATTTTCTAAAAACCACAACTTAATAAGGAGGGTTAAACGGCTAGTGACTACTAGTGGGCCTAGGGACTAGGGTAACGAAGCCCCGCGCTGTTAAAGATACATGTCGCAGCTGAGCACAAACCTGGTAAAATTTCACACAAAATATTTCTTTTAGACAACTGTCCGATGTTGAACATACCTGGGTTCACATTTCCTGTGGTGCAGCATTTCTTGGATGAAATTGTGTCCATCATCGAGTAAGCAAAATAACATAAAGACATCGTAAATACCTGAAGTCAGTTCTACCAAGGCTGTATGGCTCTATCCATCGGATCGTGGGTTTTTCAATCGTTTAAAAATTCTTGAAAAGCAATTGAACTGCAGCTTTAGAGCTAACAATTATTTAAGGAATCCCTTATTGAAGAATACTAAGGTTTAGTTGGGAAAACACCAAGCAGTGGATAGCGCTATCCAGCTTTTGTATATCCGGCCATGGGCTTTTTATGAAACGTTTTCCACAAATTGATGTCTTTTTGTCACTCCAGTTACAAATGCGCGCCAGGGAGTGGCAGAGTTTCGTACTACGGAAGACGAAAAAGAGACGAAAAGGAGGAACAGGAAAGAAAAGAAAGGAAATGGAAAGAGTATTTACGTCTCTTAAGAACTAGGTAAATTTATTTTTGCCATAGTCAGTGTTTTCTTTGGAAATGGAGTTTTTTGCGAGCCATGCTTTGATTTTGAGACTGGGCAGTAATCGGAAATGGCGGGAAAGGAGTGGGACTAGTTGTCAGATAATCTCTTGAAATATACTTTGTTTCGGTTTCAAATGTCAGATTCTTTCGAGTAGTTTCATAAAGAATAACAAAAGATACAGTCGATTAGATACTTCAGGGCGGATTTTATATTTCGACAACCCTTCTGAGCGCTCATTGGTTAAAATATAAACGCGAAATTACCTGGAATAAAGAGCTAATGCCTCATGCTAAACAGCAAACGACGGGCAAAAAGATTTGCATGAAAAGCTAGGAGCAAGGAAGGGGAAAATCGAATAGACCATTTGACCTTCCTTCATTTAAATACAAGAATAGGCAAGATAATTTTTCTTAATCTTATCCTTACTAGGGGACGTGATTCGTCAACTATACGGTGCTTGGAAAGTATGAATTTTGACAAAATAGATTACGATCTTGTGGAAAAACTGTTGGTGTACATTGGTATAAATATGCAGGTATTTTTACTTTATTTTAAAGTCGAATACAATATGAGAGAGCAACGTCGAAGTTTCTCAGCGCCATCACATTAATTATTTGGTTGTTAAGGCTTGCTTTCGCAAAACTTGTTTTTAAAGTAATCATGTGATTAACAGAGTTTGAAGTTTTAAACGATGATAAATTTTTGTTAGGACATTTTTATAATTCTCTTGGAATTATTTTGTAATTCAGGATGGAGCGGTTCTTGTATTTTTACCTGGTTGGCAGGACATTTCCAAAGTACATGACTTGCTGAAGAAAAATCCACTTTTCCTCTCAGGTAATGTATTTAACGTATTATTTAACGTATTATTTAACGTATTATTTAACGTATTATTTAACGTATTATTTAACGTATTATTTAACGTATTATTTAACGTATTATTTAACGTATTATTTAACGTATTATTTAACGTATTATTTAACGTATTATTTAACGTATTATTTAACGTATTATTTAACGTATTATTTAACGTATTATTTAACGTATTATTTAACGTATTATTTAACGTATTATTTAAAGTATTATTTAACGTATTATTTAACGTATTATTTAACGTATTATTCAACGTATTATTTAACGTATTATTTAACGTATTATTTAACGTATTATTTAACGTATTTTAACGTATTATTTAACGTATTATTTAACGTATTATTTAACGTATTATTTAACGTATTATTTAACGTATTATTTAACGTATTATTTAACGTATTATTTAACGTATTATTTAACGTATTATTTAACGTATTATTTAACGTATTATTTAACGTATTATTTAACGTATTATTTAACGTATTATTTAACGTTTATTTTATTATTTTTTATTTTTTTTTTTTTTTATTTTTATTTTATTTAACGTATTATTTAACGTATTATTTAACGTATTATTTAACGTATTATTTAACGTATTATTTAACGTATTATTTAACGTATTATTTAACGTATTATTTAACGTAATTATTTAACGTATTATTTAACGTATTATTTAACGTATTATTTAACGTATTATTTAACGTATTATTTAACGTATTATTTAACGTATTATTTAACGTATTATTTAACGTATTATTTAACGTATTATTTACCGAAGGCGAGTCGAATATCGCTGAATAAAAACCAAGACGAATAATTACATTAGGTGATTGCTCGAAGAAACCACACTGTTGTAAAAAATACATGTTTTACAAACGTAAACAAAACTCTTGGCAATTTTACGGCAATTTAAATAAAACGATATTTTATGCGAAACAGAATTAAAAGCACCGTAAACCAACGTTTTTTTACCTCGCAATGATTTTAGGCCATTTCCCCCGCTTTTTTCGTTGTCTCAGGTAGAGCATTTTCTTTAATTACTGTTTTCTTCATCTGTCACTCCGACATAAACAACTCGCCGCCATTTTGAAAATTTCGCTTAGGCGATCATTGCGTAATAATTCGTGGTCGCTCGACCAATCAGAGTGTAGAACGGTCAATAATCACTTTTGAATAATAATAAACTTTTGTAATGAATATAAAAGTAAGAAATAAGAAATAATATCGTTAAATTATTATGCTTATATTATAATTATGATTATCGTTAATGAATTACCCAATGAGGGTAGGTATTGTGACATGTTTTATAGCCTTGCATTAAATAAGGATAAATGAGGCGAGGATTGAGGTGAGGCGAACAGCAATGCAAATCCTTTATGTGCTTTTTAGGTCATTTTCTTATCTTGCCTCTGCATTCTATCATGCCAACCGTCAATCAACGACAGGTAAATAAATACCTCTGAACGCTTAGCTTGTTAAAGCTTGCCTGTGCACCAGTTGAAACTGAGGCATTGAAATTAACGGGAATAGCGGGATGTTTTCGGGGTTGCAGGTTGGGGAACCTCTGTACACAAAAGCCTGCGTTTTTGAAACTGTGAATTACCGTTTGACGAAATTCTCTGATTTTCTCTTCCTAGATATTTGATAGACCGCCTCGTGGTGTGAGGAAAATCATTCTTTCGACCAGTTTGGCTGAAACAAGGTAAAATCAAAGAGTAAACTCTGCCTGGCGTACTGTAAACATAACTAGAGTGGGAAATTCTGAAGTTGACAATGAAGCAAAATTCTGAAGCAAGTCCAACCTTTCGAAAGTTTTCAATCTTTTCCCGGTTGTTTCTACGAAGCTTGTACGACCAAACAAGTCCTTAGTTCGTAAAATCGCATAGCATATTAATGCTATTTTGTGAACAAAGTGTGAACAAAAGAAAAACTTCTTACATTTCATTTCACGAAAACAACTCATATTTTTTATAGTATTACAATTGACGACGTGGTGTATGTGATTGACTGTGGAAAAACGAAAGAACAGGTAAGACTATAGCGAAAAATACTGCAAACACACCAATGTTAGTATAAACGTTGTGCAATGACCACAATCGCAGGAAAGTGTACTATCAAGCACTGAATAAAAAATTGCAACGCTGTAAGTAATAGAATAGTCAGGGTGTTACTAGTAGCAACACTCAGCACTCAGTCAGACTAGCAGTACTGCAATGATCAACTGACATTGAGGAAGATTGAAAGTGAAACACTGAATAAAACATTGCAAAGCAGTAAGTACTAAACTAGTCAGGCTAGTATTATAGTAGCAACAGTCAACACTCAGTCAGACTAGCAGTACTGCAATGATCAACTGACATCGAGGAAGGTTGAAAGTGAAACACTGAATAAAACATTGCAAAGCAGTAAGTACTAAACTAGTCAGACTAGTATTAGTAGCAACAGTCAACACTCAGTCAGACTAGCAGTGCTGCAATGATCAACTGACATTTTGAAAGTGAAACACTGAATAAAACATTGCAAAGCAGTAAGTACTAGACTAGTCAGGTTAGTATTAGTAGCAACAGTCGTCACTCAGTCAGACTAGCAGTGCTGCAATGATCAACTGACATTGAGGAAGGTTGAAAGTGAAACACTGAATAAAACATTGCAAAGCAGTAATTACTAGACTAGTCAGGCTAGTATTAGTAGCAACAGTCAACACTCAGTCAGACTAGCAGTGCTGCAATGATCAACTGACATTGAGGAAGATTGAAAGTGAAACACTGAATAAAACATTGCAAAGCAGTAAGTACTAGACTAGTCAGGCTAGAATTAGTAGCAACAGTCATCACTCAGTCAGACTAGCAGTACTGCAATGAATTAACTAATATTGAGGAAGGTTGAAAGTGAAATACTGGATAAAACATTGCAAAGCAACTTTTAGACACGCTAGTGTTGGTAGCATCAGCACTGGTAGAACTGCACATAATATTTTGTATTTTATAATTTATTTCTAGAACTTTGATGCGGACAAACAGCTGACCACGCTAAAAGCTGTGTGGAACAGCAAAGCGTCATGTGTACAACGAAGAGGACGAGCTGGAAGGTATAGTATGGTACAAAATCCGCAATAAAAACATTCATTAAGAATCTGGCTTCTGTTTTTTAATAATAATTATATATAGCGCTATTTCTTTTAATAAACCAATGGCTCTTAAAATTCTATGTCTAACAATTTGCTACTATCTAATAATATTATAGTGTTTCATATATACTATACATCACTATGTACACGTCTAGATAAGAGAGTGTTTAATTTGTTTCAAAAATTAGTAATTACGATCAAAACTTAGTCTAAAGAGTAAGTCGTCTATTCAAGTCTAAGATACCAAATGGAATGTAGTCTTTTCTCAAAAAGTAAATACGGCATTGTTTTGGTTCGGTGTCTCACTCTTTCAAGATCAAACGATCACTGGTGTAGGTTATACTTTCAATCGCTCAATTACAGGGTTCAAGAAGGAGTCTGTTTTTATCTCTTTACGGAATACCATTTTGAAGAAATGGCAGAGTATCAGCAGCCAGAAATTCTTCGCACTCCTCTGGAAGAAGTCTGTTTGCAAGTTAAAGTAAGAGATATGTAAATAGAAGTGCAGAAAAAGGAAAGAGGGGGAGTCTGCTCTTGTTAATAAAATTGGTGTATCAAATTGAAATTTGTTCACAAATTGCCCATATTGGTATCTCCAAAGTGGCTTACATATTTAAAAAAAATTTTTATTGATGTCTACATACATACCTAGAATATTATATTACATCAACCACGATGACATGCTCACGACATTCACTGGCAGTTTAAATGTACGGGATCATGTAAGCCATCGCCTGAATGCAAAATTTCACTTTGATTCGATAGAGCTTGAAGTTGGGAATGGTACAGCCTTTCTTAAGTAAAGCTTTGGAACCACCAGCCATTGGAACCATACAACAAGCTATCGCCACTTTAATGCAACTGGTAAGTGAACGCATCGAGTTTCCCTGCAGCTTAATTGTCAAAAAAGAGCGTATACCAAAATGAGTAAAATACCAAAATGGGAGAAATTTAATCAGCCTTGCAAATTTTGTATGCCTTCTATCTTTATTTTACGTACAGAGTTTGTACATACCTTTATGTTATCCAATGCGATTCAATGATATCCATTTTTAACCCATGCTATCCCACACTACCCTGTTTTGTCGTATATGATCCTATACTATCCTATACTATCCTCAATGTTCCTTCTCAAGCTTTAAACAACTGGTTGAAAAATGTTCATGGGTTAGTCAACATTCCTATGACAAATTATGGTTTTTGGTTTTTTTAGGACGCGTTTGACTCCAATGAGAACCTCACTCCACTTGGCCATCATTTAGCCCGCCTGCCCGTCCACCCACGGATTGGGAAAATCATTCTGTTTGGCGCCATCATGTCGTGCTTGGACCCAGTTCTAACCATCGCGTCGAGCATGGGATATCGCGATCCTTATGTCGTCCCTTTGGTGAGCTCTGAAATTTTTTTATAGAAATTAAAACTAAATAACTTCTCTTACGTTTTTCGTTATACATGCATCTGGCCTAGTTTTCAAAATATTTTCTCTTCTTAAAATGTTGGGTAAAATTTATTGATATCCACCATCTTGAATTTCCACGAAGTTGCGTTGTTTTACACTAATGTTTGCTTAACTTCTTCGTTTCATATTTTCTTTCTTTTGTGAAAATATTGATTGTTCCTGGAGCTTTAAAACATCAAGTCTGTTTGCTTTTTATTGCCTTTTAATCTAATTCTTAACTCTTTAATATTTATGTTTGTAGAACATGGAAAGACAAGCCGACGAAAGTCGTCGCAGATTCTCCCAAGGAACGCAAAGTGATCATCTAGCTTTATACGAAGCATTCAATGTATGTTTTTCACCGTGATATCATCTTGTGTACCATGATATCATTTTATGTGTCGTGGTATCATGTTAGGTACTGTGATGTCATGTTATGTACCTTGATATCATGTTATGTACCGTGGTATCATATTATGTACTTTGATATCAAGTTATGTACTGTGATATAATGTAATGTACCCTAATATCATGTTATGTACCACCATCATATGCGATGTACCGTGATGTGCATTATGTACCATGTGTTTTTGTATTTCCATAAATTGTTTCTGTTTGACTGATAAGATTTCAATTTTATTTAGCAATGGGAGTCTGCGAGCTCACATGGAAATGCTTATCAATTTTGTTGGGACAATTTCCTTTCGCATTCAATCTTACTGGTAAAATTCTTGAAAATCTTTGTCGCTTTAATATTCGTTGAAAGCGAGGGTGAATATCGCTGAATAAAAACCCAGAAAGTTCTTGTTTATTGATCTTTACTCAGCCTGTGGCGAAACGAGGGATTTCGTTTTAGACCAATCAGCAATTTTGTTTACATTTTCAGTAACCCAATCAGAATGCATAAATTTTGACCACTTCTGGTGAAAAAGTACATTATTTAGGCATTTTGATTGGCTTAGCCTGAAAAATGTAAAGAAATTTGCTGACAAAAGTTTAAAACGAAATTGCTCCTCGTTTCATTAGGGACTCTTGCTTAGCAAGTAGTTTCGTTTGTAAATAATATTTTTAACAAAAAAGACTTGTTTTTCCTGTTTAAACGAACGACCGGAATACTATGTAACTAGGTTTATCGCATTTAGTCAATCAAGAATATGAAAACACAGTTTGCTGAACATCTTTGCTCTATTGGTTTCATCTCAACGGCTGAACCCAATCAGGAGACAGCGAATTACAATTCCAGTAAGATGTTTTTGTTGCCCATTAAAGATTGAAAAGACGTTAAATATTTTTGATACTATATATAGATTGTGGCTGGCACATCAGCGATCATTAACTGTGTCTTGTCAAGAATCTAATAGTTCTCTCCTAATATCTGTTTCCAGACAACAAATCCCTAATCAAAGCTGTTCTATGCGCTGGTTTTTATCCAAACGTTATTTCCGTTTACCAGCCGAGGTAAGTCAAAGAATATTAAGATTGTTCACCTGCTGTTTCTTTGTTTACATTTCGTTCTGGTTGCATACATAACCCGCTACCTCCTCCGCAGGCCCTTCTCGGGCAAATATGGCTGGCGGTGATATTTTGCGGGTAGAAATTTAGCATAACCCGGCAAGTTACTCTTGCCTGCGTGCAAGTTAATCTTACCTGCTCTTCATCAACAATTGCGACTTGTATAACCAGGAATTGGCGATGAAATGGCTGTCGCCTGTCGCCTGCATTTCATCCATACATAATAGCATTCGAGTACAAATTTCATCCATTTTTGTGCATTTCATCCATACGCAATGGCCTTCAAATAAAGCAGCTGTTTAGGAACGTGTTGGTACCCAAATATTTTACCTTTGGTATCCAAGGTAAGTAATTCGATCATCAAAACTGCGTGATATGGTTGGTAAACGCTAGGCAAGGTCGAGGAAAATTTTAAGTTTTGTACTTTTTATTATATACGTATTTTATATAGTAAAAGTTAAAAGCCATAATGTTAAAACTTAAATGCAAATTACTTAGCATCAAATGTGGTTAACAACTGCCTAAAATAGGCAAAACACTTCTCGACGTTTCGACCTGAGGGCCTTCGTCAGGAGATTTAGTATGAGTTAGTTTCCCATACTAACTCTCCTGACGAAGGCCCTCAAGTCGAAACGTCGAGAAGTGTTTTGTCTGTTTTAGGCAGTTGTTATACCACATTTGATGCTAAGTTGTTTGAAGACGCTGCCACGCTGCTCCCTGGTTATATTGGAACCTATATAAATGCAAATTAGTATGTATGCAGATCACCATGTCTGAAATTTCAGGTGATGCATATGAATAATAAATTTAACACTGATATTGCGCAAATTTGCGTGTATATTCATTTCTCCCAAGGCTTGCTATAGCTGCGCTTGCTTGCAGGTCCTCGAAAATCGCTGTATGATGGAATTCAGATATTTTGATCGTTGTGAATACGTGTTTCTTTCTCTCGGGAATATGTTTTATTAAATTGTTTGGTCATAATCAGTTTCTGGAGATCAGCGCAGCTTCTAAAAATTTAGTTATTTCATGATCATGGTTTTGCCTGTTTTTAAATTATAGACAATTATAACATTACATAGTCAGATAATTTTAGTCAAAATCTCAGATGTGGAGCTACTATATCTCGAGATTATGTAAATAAAATCGTTATTATATTATTCTCGAGTTATTCTCGCGTTCTTATAGGGCAAGGTTAGTACTACTAACACATGTACTTCAAGTCTTACAACAAATGCATCATGTTAGATGTAAGCAGTTTTATATATAAGCATATTTGAACAATATTCTCATAAATAATATATGAAGCACTCATATCGCGCAAATTTGCATGTATATTCATTTCTCCTAAGACCTCTTGCGCTTGCTTTTAGCTCATCGAATCATGATGGAGTTGAAATATTTCTTCAACTTTATATTTTTGTTTGTTGTGAATATGTGTTTCTTTCCCTCGGGAATATGTTTAAATTTCTTGGTCATTATCAGTTTCTGGAGATCAGCACAGCTTCGTAAAAAATTGTGTCATTTTGGAATGTATTTTATAATAAAAGTTGAAGTCCATAATGTTATAAAGGTTAAATGCAAATTAGTGTATTATTATGCAGATCACCATGTTGCAAATTTCTGGTAATGAATAATAAATTTAATATAACACTTAAATCGCGCTAACTTGCGTGCATATTCACTGCTTCCAAGACTCATCAAAACACCGAAATCGCTCCATGATGGAGTTCAGATATTTTCTGAACTTGATATTTTTGTTCGTTGTGAATGTATGTTTCTTCTTTTCGGGAATATGTTTAAATTCCTTGGTCATAATCAGTTTCTGGAGATCAGCCCAGCTTCGAAAGAAATTGTGTTATTTCATGATCATGGTTTTGTCCTGTTGCGATCTGCTTGCGGTCTAACAATCATACCGCGATAGTAACTACTGGGATGTTATGTTGACCAGATTACAAACGAAAGTTTGCACTATAATGATTATTTGGCTTTCTTCATTTGTTTTCGTTACAGGCTCTTTTGGTGATGAATTTCGATCGATATTTAGCGACATATCATCCCATCTTTCATCGAACATCTGTAACGAAGGGAAAACTTTCGTCTCTTCTTGGAATACTTATTTTTATCCCATTCATTTTATTCCTGATGTATCTAAACTTTGTCATAACCTTCCATGTTGTTGTTCTCGTTTTTTTAATTACCTTCGCCCCTCCGATGTTGTTCATCAACTACAAGCTCTTTGCAATCGCGAGGAAAAGTCGTGAAAACAGAGGAATATCACCCGATATCAAGAAGAGGTTTTCTTTAAAACATATATCTAGTTGCTTGCTAGCAGTCGCTTGTTTGACGGCACTGTCCATTCCATCGTTTGTCTACGTTGGACTGAAGATGAACTCAGGAGAAAAAGGGTTTTTATTCTATATATCTTGTTGGAAGCTGGTGTCAAACCATCGGCTCAATGAATAGTACATTCAATTGTTTAATATTTTACTGGAAGAACAGGATTTTACGCACCGAGGGAATGAGAGTTATCAAAAGCATAAAAATATGCAAGAAGTGACTATCGATTAAGTCATGCCGATGGAAGCACTGCTCACTGCAGCATTTGTCGACCACCATTGGACTGTAGACGGACTCGGAGGGAGAAAGGTTTTAGAAGAGTGATTCAGACCTTGATAAGTTGTGGGCCAAAAACATTTTCTCAATGAATGCTATAGCCTATACATTTAACTGCCTGATCTTTTACTTGAAAAAAAAAAATTTTACACGCACGAGGGAATAAAATTATCAAAGACATAAAAATCTGCAGGAAATGACAATTCTTCGTTAAATTAAGAATTCCAGCTAGTGCTTAAAGTTTGTCCCCTGACTTTACCCTGGCAAGAAAGAATAGCGATGGCGGAACGTTTAGCAAATATAATGTATTCGTCAATAATGCTTATATACATTGTACATAGTGATATACAAACCATGGCCAAACTCTGATCGCTCAAACCATAATAGGGACATGGACGGGCAGAGAAATAGTCAATACTAAGTATATAACATATATGATTGAGTTTGTTTCCTTGTTGTTCTTATTTATTAGCATTTAGTATTTTTAAAAACAATTTTAATATATAAAGCATGTTTGAAATAAATTATTGACAATAGTAACATTACATATAGGCCTATAGCTACATAATTTTAGTAAATCGTTATTATTAATATTTCTCTATCGAATCTAGTATAATTCTCCTGATGTAATGCATGTAAAAAGCATGGACTTGTTTTGTGTGATAATATTTCATATCATGCACAATAATTTCTGATTGAAAAATTGAAACCGTGCAAGCTCAACTGCGACCATCTAGATCAAATTGCTTAAGTAAGCAGGTTTTCCACTAGCGATATTTTTCGCGAGAATCGACATTTTACTTTTGTTCCAGAGCTCTCAACTGCAACCATCTGGAACAAATTGCTCAAATACAAAGGAATAAAGTCACTCCGCGCGAAAAATATCGCTAGTGGGAAACCGGCTATACAAAAGAATAAAGTCGCTTCGCGCGAAAAATATCGCTAGTGGAAAACCGGCTTTTAGACCTCTATGAAAATCGTGACGTATCCATCTTGCTCCAAGCAAACTGCAGTTATTTAAGGTTTAAAATTAAATGAAATTTAAATTTAATTTCTTAGCGTCGCCGCATCTTGAGGAATCTCAAGTTGTTTTTGAAAACATCAAACTAATAACTTCTGAGAAAGATCTAAAATTATGTATGTTTATCTATATAGGCCTAGGCCGGTGTTTAGGACTATGCAATGCATGCACTCCTCGTTCATATATATAAGTACGAAATATAGCATCTGACCCACAACAAGTTAACAGAGGTTCTGCTAAGGTTGCATGGTAAAAACCTCAAAATTAAAATGTAAAATTTTAGTTGTTCAATTTCGACCGCAGATGCATGTTATTGACAAGAGTCCAACTACAGGGTCGAAATTAAACAACTAAAATTTTGCATTTTAATTTCGAGGTTTTTACCAACCTTAGCAGAACCTCTGTTCACTTGTTGTGGATCAAACTAACTCATTGTCATTGACCGCAATATGAAACAGGACACATACGTGGGGGCTGCCTATGTTCCTACGTACAACACCTGTACTTTAATAAAACCTTTCAACAATTGAAATTTTTGAACAGTTGTATTTTAACATTGTGATATATAATAAATTTAACGCTTTTCGCAAATTTGCATGTCTATATATTGCTTCCAAGACTTTTTTTATTGATCACTTGCTTTTAGCTCATCGAAAAACTGAAATCTCTTTATGGAGTTAAATTATTTTCTGAACTTGATATTCCTGTTTGTTGTGAATACATGTTTCTTTCTCTGAAGAATGTTTTTAAATTCCTTGCTCATAATAGAGAATACTCTCTTTTCCAACGTATAGAAATTTAGAACTTGAGTTGCTGCATGATTATATTCCTTTAATTTTTTAGCTGGACCACTGTTATCTTTAGTGTAAAAGCCGGCTTAATTCGGGGTAATAATTCCCATTTACCGACAAGTTTCATTTTTATATATCTCGCCGCCTTTCTTTTGACCCCTTAGGTTGTTTATCATGTGGCATGATGCCGAAACGGTTTTAACTATATATTGTTGTTTTACGTTACCAGGACCGAAAATATATCGAAGTAATCGAACAGGCGAGAATGAGAATATATCTGAAAATAAAATATTCATTACGATTTTAAGAAACGTTTTGCATCGCAACTTTCATATTTTTATGTTTTAAAGCATGTGGCTATGTATATCGCTTATTTTAGAAACTAGATTGGCGAATATATTGCTTTAATTTGAACCTCGCAGGCAATTATCGCAGAACTTGACGGTTTCGAAGCAAACTTCACTTTTTATTTATTTTTATGAAATGTTTCTGCCGCAGTGATTTTATTTGGCCGCAAC